TAAGTGTTATATCCCAAATCTTCGGTATAATATTCGTATATGATTATAGTTCAAAATATAAATGTTACTTGGTTGATAAGGGACAGAACTAGTTGAAAAAGAAAAAACCATTTCTATTAGGGTAGGGGATCGCAGATGGTTAAAAAAAGAAAAGAGAAATGAGTTCGTTGAGGGAGGGGGCGGTACTCGAACTCGCTGGGATCCCTGGGCGGAACCAAACGCCTCCCAACGATCAAATGTTCCCACCAAATATTGAGTGGTTAAAGACTCCAAATAGATCAAAGAGCCTACATGCGACATCTAAAAGAATTTCATAGCAAGAAAATTGTAAGTTATAACATATCATTACTTAATTTTACATTACAATAAAATAAGAACTATCATATTACTACTAAAGTAAATGTTAAAAAAGAAATATGTTAGAGAAATTTTTACCATACAAAATTTACCATGCAAATTTTATTGTAATAATTTACATAAAATTAAAGACATAACATATCAATATAATGAACATGCAAAAATAAAAATAAAAAATTAAATAATACACATAAGATATTTATCACAAACTATTCACATATATGTTTTTTTTTTCTCTTTCGGTAAACCTTTTCTGGCTATTCACATATATGTTACCATTGATATAAACGGTAATTATAAATTACAAAATTCTAAATTATATTAAATATAAATTAGAATACATATACATAAAAATATATGATTATATAATATGTAACAACATAAATTATAGAAAAATTTATATATATATATATATATATATATATATATATATATATATATATATATTACACACACGTATATAATTATAAAGTGTGGAAAGATAAATTGTAGAAACATAAATTGTTGAAGTATAAATTGCAAAAATATAAATTGTCGAAATATAAAGTGCAGAAATAAATTTCAAAAATAAATTGAAATGCGCTATTCCATCGCCTCGGGCCGTTTAAGGGAAAAGAGAAAAAAAATAAAATAACAAAGAACACTTCTGCAAGGTTTATATTTTAAAAGAAAAGAATCAGTTATACTCATTCTTAGTATTTACTTTTATATCTTCTTATTATAAAGGTTCTTCACAAAAAAAAAAGTTTTCTTTCTTTTCTTTCTTTTTTCTCTCTTTCTCAGTAGAGTTTTTTCTAAAATTTTCAAGAATTTTACTTTTTGATTTCTCTCAATTTTGAAGCAATAACTAATGATTCATGGGAGAAATTATATTTACAACAATTTTTTTCTTACAACCTCATACAACTATTTTATGGTTGTTGGATTGAAATCAAATCAACGGTTACAAAATAATATTAAATGAGAGTCGATATTTGATTTTGATCTAATAACCGTAAAGTGGTTGTAAGAAAAAAAGGTTGTAAATATAACCTTCATCGTGATTCATATAGTATTTATTTATAGGAAAAATATTACCATGCCAATGGTAAAATTAATATGATAATAATAAAATACTATTAACCCACTAATCATCAAAGAAATTTTACCCACGTGAAATGCCTTAAAATTTTATTTATGATAATTTATGATTGAATTATATACTTTAAAATATGGGAAATGTGATGACAAATCTTGTGTCGTGCCATAGACACAAAACTGTATGGTTCCTACTGAAAAAATGAAAAAATAAATAAATGTGTGAGTATCATTTTTTGTGTGTCTATGACATGACACAATATCTGTTATGTGACACCCACTTTTTTATTCAAATATTGTTTGATTGAATTATTATTATTATCTGTTATGTGACACCCACTTTTTTCTTCAAATATTGTTTGATTGAATTATTATTATTATTTTCTTTAGGCCTTGTTTGAGAATTTGGAGAGAAAGGGAAGGAAGGAGATCCCAAGGGACAGGGAAGGGAAGAAAGTTGGAGAGTATTCCAATTTTAAAGCCCTATGTGGTATTCTAGAAAGGGAAAAGTTTAAAAACCCCCATGTGGTATTGCTTAATCACTTACAAGTTTACACCCCTATATCATTTTTAATTACTTAATCTCTTGTGATTTTTTTCATCTGCATCCCTATTTAATTGTGTTAAAAAATTAATTAAGTATACTTATTCTTCTATTCTTAGAAGAAGAAAATAAAGTAATAAAAAAGAAAAAAAATAAGACCAACTGTTATTGAAATTTAGAACACTTAATAAAGATCAAAAGAAAAAATAGTAAAAAAAAAACAAATGTGTCAAAATAAAAAAAAAATGTATAAAAAACTAAATAGAATAAGAACAAAAAAATAGAAGAAAAATAAGACCAAATATATTAAAAGTCACAACAACGACAGAAAAGACTAAAATTTTAAAATAATGAAAATAGTCCAAATTAAAAAAAAAATATACACTGAAGACAAAAAACTAGAAGAAAAATTAAAGATAAAAAATAAAATAAAAAGAAATCACTTATGAGTTTTTAATCTATTTAGCTTTATTCTTTTAATTTTTTTCCTTAGTCTATTTTATTATTTTTTATTTAGATATGTTTGATCTTTTTTCTATTTTTATTTTTTCCACCTTTTGGTTTATTTTATTCTGATTTTCTTCTCAATTTTTTTTAGCCTTATCCCACCCCATTTGCTAAAGATTTTCATAAAAAAAAATTAAAAAAGAGAGAGAATAAAATAGAGATATAACCTATGTAGCACCGATACGACACGTGACACGACATGACACGACATGACACGACACTCCGACACGTCAATCCTAAAAAATTATTGATTTCGACACGTTGAGACACGTTTTAATATTAAATAATATTTTTAATTTATATAGTGTATATTTTAATTTAATATTTAATAATTTAACAAAAAATGAAACTAAATTAATAATACTCATCAACACGTTATAAAGATGGAAGCTTTAATAAAAAAAATAAGAACTAGGATGAGAGAGAGATATAATATCAGATAGAGAGAATAAATCATATTAGAGAGAGAGATCAGAGAGAAGGAGATACAACAAGAGCGTAATAGGAATTGACAACAATGATGCTGAGATGATCTCTTATCTACTTAAGGGGAAAAAAGACAAAAAATTAAATGATCAGGTGGAAGCTTTATTATTATATTTTAATTTTTTTTAAAAAAAAATTTTAAAAAAAAATTAAAAAAATTTACGAAAATTCCATTTGACCGTGTCCGACACGGTCAAATTCGCGCGTCGGAATGGTCAACGTGTCGAAAAAAGTCGACCGCATGTCTGACACCGTGTCGGAGTGTTCGGAGTGTGTCGGACACGACTCTCCCTATTTTTACAAGTGTCCGTGCTTCCTTGGATATAACAAGGAACAAGCATATCTAAATAAAAACAACAAAGAAACCAAGGACAAAAAAATTTAAAAAAATAAAAGCAAATATATTAGAAATTCATAAGTGTAATATTTTTTATTCTGTCTTTTATTTTTTTTATCTTAAATTTTCCTTTTATTTTTTTTGTGTTCAATATTTTTTTTCATTTGGATTATTTATATTTATTTTTAAATTTTGGTCTTATTTGTCACTGTTTTGATTTTAATATATTTGATCTTATTTATTCTTCTATTTTTTGTGTACATTCATTTTTTTTAGACACATAACACATTTGATTTTCTTTGCTATTTTTTATTTTAGTCTTTTTTTGGAAACATTTTAGTCTCTTATTAAGTGTTATAAATTTTCATAAAATTTGATCTTATTTTTCTTTTTCTTTATCACTTTATTTTCTTCTTCTAAAGGGGTAGAATAAGTATATTTGGTTAATTTTTTAACAGTGTTAAGAAAAGGTGTGGATAAAAATAATAATAGAATATTAAGTGATTAAAAAAAAATTCAGGAATATAAGTGATTTAAAGCAAAATCATAGATTTTTTGTTTTTAAGTTTTTTTTTCTAGAAATATTCTAACTTGATCGAATAGCACAGTTAAAAGTTAAAACAATAGGTAATACTTTTTTTATGTTGCATATCATAAGTATTAACTCCTACTTAAACAATAAATAGGAGAGAGAAAAATGTTGGTGATGAGAGAAAAAAATTCTCGCGGGACCCATTTAAAAAAGTGAGTGTAGAAGATAATACTTCTTTTGTGCAACATATGAAAAGAAATTCCCTAAAACAATATTGCATTTGTTATTGGGGGCAGGATATATTTACCATTCAAAAATTTTACCACCAACGTAATCACCGTTGATTCTTGTCAATCTAATGCTTATAATTTAATGGAAGTTAATGTGTCGCATTTATTAATTAATTAATAATTATCAATGAATTCAATAAATTATAACTGTTAGATTGACGAAAATCAATGGTGATTAAGTTGGTTGTAAATGTGCTAAACTTTTTTAATGGTAAATATATCCTTCCCCTTGTTATTGAATACGAAAGTGGGATTGCCAAACTCTAATTAAGGTTTGTTATAATTAATTTTATATTATATAAATATTTAAAAATTTAACTAAATTTTTAAAAAATTAAAATTAAAATCTAAAAAATTAAATTTAAATTTAAAATTCGAAATTAGATTTAAAATTCTAAATAAAAAATATCTAAATTTATAAAAACACTAGTGAATTACCCGTGCCGATGCACGGGAAAAAAATTGGTTTGTTTGGCATGGTGGGTCGGCCCTCCGGGCCGAACTCATTTTGTCAGTATTTCAAAGGTCCCAAACAGTCATTTTTTTAAATAACAAAACAGTCATTCATTGTTACATTAAAAATAGGAAAGAAAATAGGATAATAAAGGTTATATCTTTGAAGATAGATAAGGAAAAGAGACGCGAATAAACAGTCATTTTTTTTGTCTTTACCTGTACTATACAACGAAATTATATCTTTGAAGAAAGAACCCAATATACTATAGCAGTCTTTGAAATACTTCCTTGTAAACTATATTAAGGGTACTATTCGTAACACAACCATTTTCATCAAGTATCAATATCTTCAATCCATGCTTACTCTTTACTCTAGACAGTGCCACATATAACTGCCCATGAGTGAAGACAGGCTTAGGGAGATAAATTGCAACATGTGAAAGTGATTGTCCTTGACTCTTGCTGATAGTCATGGCAAACGAGACAATCAGGGCGAATTGTCTTCTTTGGAAATTTACAGAAAATGTATGACTCGATGGGCTCATCGTCATTCTAGGGATTAACACAGTTTCCCCTATATTGCTTCCTGTAAGTACAATTGCCTCAACAACATGATTCCTTAATTTTGTAATAAGCAATCTCGTGCCATTGCATAAACCTCTCGACTGATCAATATTTCTTAATAGCATTACTGGAACTTTAACTTTCAAGATTAATTTATTATCAGGAATCCCTGAGCATGATAATGTATTTAAGATCTCAGGGGTGATTTCATCATCCTCAACAAAGGAAGTCCCACCTTGCTTAAGAATTTTATCCGAACTCAAAAAAGTCCTTTCTTCACCAGGAATCATAGACATTAGGTGCTCGTTTAGCATAGCAACATCGGACAATTTAGGAGTTAGAATAGCACGTTCTTTAAAGAAGGTCTGATCCAAAATATTATCCAAGAGATTCGGATAAACAAAATTAACCATATCCGACAGCGGATCTTCCGATTCTCTAATCAACAATTCATCTGGAATTGTTATAATAGATTCTCCATCAACATCATCTCCAAGATTACCATCCCCAACTTTAAGTAGCCACTCAGAAAATTCTTTTATTTCCTCTAAATTGTGAGCGCTACTTCCAGAATTAAGACGCATGTTCTTGGTCAAAGTTAATAAATGACAATGGGACCATAGATGAGAAGAATTGATGGTTGCATGACCTATATCTTGTCTACCGCCATGAGGAATGACAGGTAATATTTGCCGAAAGTCACCTCCTAGAACAACAACTTTTCCACCAAATGGCATATCAACACAGCTTGTATCAGAAATTCTAAGAACATCTCTCAGTATCCTATCCAGAGCCTCAAAGGAAAATCTATGTACCATTGGAGCTTCATCCCAAATGATTAACTTTGTTTTTGACAGCAACTCAGCTATAGTAGATTTCGGCCTTATATTACACGTTGAATCTTCATTGATTTGAATAGGAATACGAAATCTAGAATGCGCTGTTCGTCCTCCAGGAAGCAGAAGGGAAGCAATTCCGCTAGAAGCAACATTAAGTATGATTCCAGCTTTTGATCTAATAGATGCTGAAAGAGTATTCCAAATAAATGTTTTTCCTGTACCACCGAACCCCTATAGGAAAAATAACCCTCCATTACCTGCCGTAACTGCTGAAACAATTTTATCGTAAACAGCTTTCTGCTCATCAGTGAGGGAATTAATTAGTCTTTTATGCTCCTCTTCCAAAGCAAATCTGTCATACATTAATTCATCCAACACTAATTGATTTTGCATATCAAGCAAAGTTTCACTATTGATGCGTGGCATTGACGGATAATCAGAGAGGCATTTCCCATTGCTCTGCAGTACCTTATCAATTTCTTCAAGAGTTATGTTTTTTATAGACTCTTCTATAAGAATTGCATCTGACAAAGCATAAAATTCAAAGGAAAAAAAATTAAAAAATTAACAAAGATAAAGTAATCAAAGAAAGAAAAGAGAGCGAATAATTTATCAACATTTGCTGAATACGGGCAAAAAAGCTAATAAGTACTAAGGCAACATATGCTGATTTCGGTTAAACAAAAAAAAATGTATGAAATATTATTATAACACGTACCTTGACGTCCTATTCTTTTCCTATGCCGATAAACAACGTTGTCGGATAAAAATTTCCAACACTCTTCCCAAACTTTTTCAGGTCTGTTCATTGAGTTGGCAAATAACAACAGAGCAAACAGACATCTAAGATAAGCAGCAGATCCCCAGGAACTTGCCTCCTTAATTGCATCAATGTACTCATTGTCATCATCCAGAAGTCCTAAAGAATAGCATGCATCCTTAAATGTAGGAAAAACCACGCCATTGATCGTTCTAAGATCTTCATAACTGGTGCAACCTCTTTGAAAATTAAGCAAGGTGCGAAGATATGAATCTTCTCCATTATTGGCAGAAAAACGATTTATCCTTCCAATGGAAAATCCTTTTTTTCTCGGATTCCATTCATGCGTTTTTTCTTTGAAAACAAATTCAGTCGGGTACTCTCCATAAGTTAGATGCCTACCTTCTGGATATTTTTTATTTGCATCCATCCAAGACTCAAAAATTGACAGTCTAGACTCCGCCCTTGTCTTTACATCATACAACGAATCATTATCACTGAAAATAATGTTCTTTTCATTAGACAAGTGAAATGGCAATCTCTGAACAGGGGGATATCTCGAATGAATGTCAAATCCAAATATTCTCCAAGCTGCTTCACATGCGGAGACATACCTATCATAAATAAATAAATAGGTGAACATTTAAATTAATAATTTCTCAAAAAAATTGTGCCAATTTTGTAGGAAAGCAAAACACAATGGAGATTATTTTTAGTACCTGCAGTCATAAAACATTTTTATTTCATCGTCCGAATGATTTATGGCAGCTGTCACTCTGTCATTCCCTTTGTGGATGTATTTAAAAAGATATTTAATGACACTTCTCTGGCAAGTATATTCAACGTTGATATGAGCCTGGTACTTTAAAAGAAGGTGTGCATTATAGGGCACAACATAACAATTATCAAGTTCAACACCATTTTTGTTCACAACTCTCCCATCATTTCTTCTCTTATAATGAGAAAATCCATCATCGTCAATCAAAGTACGGGAGCAGAAGTTTTTTGGAAATTTTTTTGAACACCGTCCGTCCTTCATGCAAGGAGATTTGTAATTTTCAGGACCACATGGACCATGTATCATGGAACTCGTGACAGCCATAAACAGCGTAGGATTCGTTTCCTTGTCAGGTATCTCCGCTGAAATCAATTTATCAATATCAAGAGCACTTTCAGCTTTGCTTGAAGGGTTCAAGAATAGAAGAATATGAGCATGAGGTAGTCCGCGCTTTTGGAATTCGATTGTACAAACATCTGTTACATTCAAAGAATATAACATAAGTAATAATAAGAATACAACAACGTTATAGAAAGATTCAATGCATGACGTAAATTTTTTTGTATAAAATCCAGTTAACAAAAAGAGTATCAAGTTTATAATATACTTACATGCAATGACTCTGCCAAGAATATTTTCCTTGTTTAAATCATGTAGCAACTGGTCCAATTTGAACTTGAAGACTCTGCATAGAATATCAGGCCGATCTTCAGGGTTCAGCTGTCTGGCCCTAACAAATCATGTAATTTCTGGCCACTTAGGATTGCAGGTAATTGTTATAAAAAGATGAGGATATCCAGCCCAACGGCAAATTGCGAAAGCATCTTTACAATTTTCAGCCATATATCTAGGTCCGCCTGTGAATGAAGAAGGTATAATGATTTGTTTTCCAGTGCTCAGTGTTGCATCTTCACCGCTATCTAATGAATGTTTTATATTTTTGTACAACTCAGCTCTCAGATGACTCTGGTTATATCGAATGAAATTAAACTGTTCAAACTCAATCATAGTGTATGCATCAACCAGAAATTGTTGGAAAAGTTTCCTTGATCGATGTAGAATTTCTGATTCTTCAGATCGCATCTGAAGTCTAAACAAAAAAAATTCCTTCATGCTGATCATGGCTCTTGCATTTTTCCTACCACTGGATACAGTTCGCTGGACATCATCACGATAACCGTCTTCACCGTATGGAAATAACAATGGATACTGCAAGCCAAGATACAATGGATGCTTCACATCGATGCGCTGCAATACTCTATCTTGTGTTTCAATAATGATATCCCTATCGCCCATAACACTGTCTATATCTCCAACAATCAAAGCTGCCACTTCGGATGCTGTCAGAAGATTACTCGTGACAAAACATTAAAAACACAAAACTATAACCGCAAAGAGTTTAAAAATAAGGAAATAGTCATGATACAGAATAAACCAATGACGTTTAAAAATTAAAAAAAGGCAGCAAAGAGTATGGGAAAAAAATAAAACCCGCAATAATTAAAAAAAGGATAACAGTGAGGAAGAATCTATTACCGACTAAATAAGGGGAGTCAGACGTTTCTTTCTCAATGATGTTATAATCAACAAAATCAAAATCACTCACACAAATATGAGAAACAACAATCGATTTAACATCAGTTCTTAAGTTTAAAGACAAACGATACTGATGCTTGGTTGGCCTAAACACATCGCTATTGAATCCAACTCCAATTTTTTTTATAAAATAGCACTCTCCTTCGTTGATTTTATTCCGCACCTGCAAGGTACCTTTGATAGTGGCGTGGATCCTACCACCCTACAAAAGAATGGAGCCAACTTATGTCAACAACGTTAACTAAAATGATCAAAACAAAGATGGAAGATTTTTAAAACACATAACACAACTTGTTCATCCAATAAAACCATTTCAAGATTGTCCTCCAAATTTTTACGCTGAAAGTTAGGAACTTTCCAAGTCCGAACCACCTTCACCTTAATCCTCCAGTCCTCCTTGGCAGGATTAACATCCTTTAGAAAATCATATTTTGAACTCATATTTTGTGTAAGAAGAAAAAACAGAGAAGCAATCACCGACGTTGAAGAATAATGTGTATCAAGAATTGTATAAATGAGAGTGATTTATAGTTTTTGAATTGTCTTCTTGAAAAAATGTGAAGTTTTTGAATTAAACTGAATAAAGATTTAAAAAAAAAAGATAACTACAAAAGAGTGATTCAGTAGTTATAAATGAGATTTTCATGGAATAAAACAGTCATTTGTTTTAATAACAATGAATATCCCATTTTTTTTTCAAAAAACGTAAAGATTTGAATTAAACTCAATAAAGGTTAAAAAAAACGATTAGATTACATGATAACCATCAATTAGGTAAAAAACAAAGATGGCGACAAAAGAGTGATTCAGTAGTTATAAATGAGATTTTCATGGAATAAAACAGAAGTTTTTTCTAATAACAAAACACTCATACCTGATTCCAGTGAATCAAGAGGTTAATAAAAGATTCAAATTTAAAAATCTGAAAATAAGGAACAAAGGTCGGGATATGTATAATTTTTTTTTTTACTAATTAATTTTTTTTCGAGTAAATAGAATTGTATTCTTTAAAAAATGTGAAGTTTTTGAATTAAACTGAATAAAGATTTAAAAAACAAAGATAACGACAAAGAGTGATTTAGTAGGTCCGAACCACCTTCACCTTAATCCTCCAGTCCTCCTTGGCAGGATTAACATCCTTCAGAAAATCATATTTTGAACTCATATTTTGTGTAAGAAGAAAAAACAGAGAAGCAATCACCGACGTTGAAGAATAATGCGTATCAGGAATTGTATAAATGAGAGTGATTTATAGTTTTTGAATTGTCTTCTTTAAAAAATGTGAAGTTTTTTAATTAAACTGAATAAAGATTTAAAAAACAAAGATAACGACAAAAGAGTGATTCAGTAGTTATAAATGAGATTTTCATGGAATAAAACAGTCATTTGTTTTAATAACAATGAATATCCCATTTTTTTTTTCAAAAAACGTAAAGATTTGAATTAAACTCAATAAAGGTTAAAAAAAACGATTAGATTACATGATAACCATCAATTATTTAAAAAACAAAGATGACGACAAAAGAGTGATTCGGTAGTTATAAATGAGATTTTCATGAAAAAACAGAAGTTTTTTCTAATAACAAAACACTCATACCTGATTCCACTGAATCAAGAGGTTAATAAAAGATTCAAATTTAAAAATCTGAAAATAAGGAACAAAGGTCGGGATATGTATAATTATTTGTTTTTTTTACTAATTAATTTTTTTCGAGTAAATAGAATTGTATTCTTTAAAAAATGTGAAGTTTTTGAATTAAGCTGAATAAAAATTTAAAAAACAAAGATAACGACAAAAAGTGATTTAGTAGTTATAAATCAATGAATATCCCGTTTTTTTAACAGTCATTTCATGGAATAAAACAATCATTTGTTTTAATAACAATGAATATCCTGTTTTTTTTCAAAAAACGTAAAGATTTGAATTAAACTGAATAAAGGTTAAAAAAAACGATTAGATTACATGATCAACATCAATTATTTAAAAAACAAAGATGACGACAAAAGAGTGATTCAGTAGTTATAAATGAGATTTTCATGGAATAAAACAGTCATTTGTTTTAATAACAATGAATATCCCATTTTTTTTTTTCAAAAATCGTAAAGATTTGAATTAAACTGAATAAAGGTTAAAAAAAACGATTAGATTACATGATCAACATCAATTATTTAAAAAACAAAGATGACGACAAAAGAGTGATTTAGTAGTTATAAATGAGATTTTCATGGAATAAAACATAAGTTCTTTCTAATAACAAAACACTCATACCTGATTCCACTTAATCAAGAGGTTAATAAAACTTTCAAATTTAAAAATCTGAAAATAAGGAACAAAGGTCGGGATATGTATATTTTTTTTTTTACTAATTAATTTTTTTTCGAGTAAATAGAATTGTATTCTTTAAAAAATGTGAAGTTTTTGAATTACTGAATAACGATTTAAAAAACAAAGATAACGACAAAGAGTGATTAAGTAGTTATAAATCAATGAATATCTCGTTTTTTAACAGTCATTTCATGGAATAAAACAGTCATTTGTTTTAATAACAATGAATATCCTTTTTTTTTTTTCAAAAAACGTAAAGATTTGAATTAAACTGAATAAAGGTTAAAAAAAATGATTAGATTACATGATCAACATCAATTATTTAAAAAACAAAGATGACGACAAAGAGTGATTTAGTAGTTATAAATCAATGAATAAGCAATCTTGACCATTGATTTAAAGTAACAAATCCTGTCAATTGAAAATATAATTCTTTTTTGTATTTATTATATTCACCGGTTTACCATTAAAGGAAACTTTTTTAAATGTTGCAGTGTGAACACAATGGTAAAATTGAACCACAGTGCGACACGTGAGCAAGGTTTCCACAAAATGAAATTCCTTTATAATATAAGATATTACTATAACGAGATTAATGTTTATTATATTATAGAAAATAAAATTATTTGTTACACATATATAAAAATATATAAGATTTATATTTTTTTTTTCTCTTTTATTTTCACATTTCAGCGCATAGAAGTCAGATATTTTTATGTGTAGATAAGAACTACAATTATCTATTATGATAACATGAGAAATGTTAATGGAAAGTATAACTAACTTAAGAAATTTAAATTAAACTTAAAAACAATAAAAGTTAGAGAAATGTAAAATATAAAATTTGCTTTTCGTCGTGGATCTTCCATTTTTCCCGTGACTACTACCTTGCTTTTCGTCCTTGCCTCCTACTACTTTCCCTTTCCCTTTTAACCTACCATCGAGTTTGCTCAACGATCAAACCCTAATCCTCATCCTTCAGTTAAAGCACCAATTCCTACCTCTTGATGAATCGCACCTGTTATCGATTTGCACAGATTTTCCATTTCTTTCGTTTTCAATTTTTATAACTAATTATTGTGAAACTCGCAATTTCAGCCATGAATCGGGTCTCGGTGCTCTGGTAAAGCATATGATGATCGAGGTTCTTAGCACTGCGAATCGATTGCATGGGTTTAGAGAATGCCGGAGCTTCGTAGTGGAGTGCGACGTGGTCGTGCTGCGGTAGGTCAGAAAGGGTCGGAACCGGCGAGGAAGAACGTGAAGACTCGTGCTGCGGTCGCGGCGGCGCCGGAGAAGGGAAGGCCGAGGACTAGATTGGCGGCGAAGAAATTGGAGCGTGAGAAGCCGTTAATCGTGATATCGGAGCCTGATAGTAATATAGAACGGGCTAAGGCGAAGAAGAATAAGGAAGAAGGTGAAGGCGTGATGGGTGATGAAAGTGGAGGCTTGAGTGCTAATAAGGGTGTTGCCCCAGAGGATGATGCGAACACTCCACCTTTTCCTGAGAGGGTATGTGGCAATGATTATTATTTAGTTTTCATACTTTCTCAATGTTTTGTTTTATGGGACGATGGTTGATTATGTACTTTTATTGATGTTATGGTGTTAGTGGCTTCCAGTTTAGTCTTTGCAGTAGTCGGTATATTGTTGCTTATTCATTGATTTATTTCTTATTTTTAATAAATTTTGAAATTGAATTTGTTTTCAATCCCAAAGGTTCAAGTTGGAGGATCCCCTATGTACAAGATAGAGAGGAAACTGGGTAAAGGTGGATTTGGTCAGGTTTTTGTTGGCCGCCGTGAGCGTGCTACCGGCCCTGGAGCTATGGAGGTAAGTTTCTCTTATTACCTCTGGGCTATTTATGTTAAAAAGTTTTCTACTTTTGAGACTGGTGTGGATTTAAGTTGATTTCTATCTGTTATGTCTCAGGTGGCTCTGAAATTTGAACATAGAAACAGTAAGGGATGTAACTATGGCCCTCCTTATGAGTGGCAAGTGTACAAGTAGGTTCTCTTTTATTCTTTATATTATGTTTTATTAAATAATTTGAATTTATTTATTATGTTTTGTGATTAAGTATCTATAGTTAAGGTTTGACTTTTATGTTCTGTCAAAAGCACCCTTGGTGGTAATCATGGAATACCTAAAGTACACTACAAAGGAAGACAAGGAGAATATTACATAATGGTATGATCTATTCTACATGGATTTCCCTCAAACCCTATCCTAGCAAGTCAGGGTTTTATGAGGAGTGTTTTTTTTTTTTTAATTATTTATTCTACTCAACAACCATTGCACTATCTAACAATTCAACTACTTCCTTTATATATGCGCAGGTTATGGACATGCTTGGTCCAAGTTTGTGGGATGTCTGGAATTCCTCAAGCCAGACGTGAGTATAAGCATACCTGTATCTTTTTTGCTTTGTGATTGTATCTATTGCTTTGTTTATAGGATTTGTTCCCATGTTTTAAAACAAGAGTATTATGTATTGATTTTTTTTGTTCTTGGGCTGTCTTCTATGAGATTTGTATTAAAGGAAGGTGACTGTTTTTAGTTCCGTTTTCTTCCACGTGCATGGTTGAGTGAATATAGAAATGGAAAACAAAGCGTGCCTGACAAATAATTGTATATATTCTGTTGTACAAAATTCTTTTTGGCATAGTTCTTCAGTTTTTAATTATTGTAATTTCCATTTTTAATATAAATAACTACTCAATTGAAAAATTCTTATGGTTTGGCATACTGTACGTAATAGTTTGTGTCTAAAATGCATATTTTTTTTCCTTCAAGACACCAGTTGTGCCTTAAACTTTCACTTCTGTTACCTTCTGTTCCATTTTCCTTGGTACTTTTTTTGCTTCTTTGAATTTTTTTTCCTTTGCTTTTAGCCTTCACTTGTGCATGTAGTTTAAATATGTGAATGGATTATATTATAATTACGACAGTAACAAATATTTACTTGTTTTGTCTTTGTCTTATTGTTTTCACTTTTGTTATTAATAAATGTTCAGGATGTCTGCTGAAATGGTCTCTTGTATAGCTGTTGAGTCCTTATCAATACTTGAGAAGATGCACTCCAAAGGGTAAACTATTGGTCAAATGTTTTTGTTTAAAATACTTTTTCTTCCTATTTTTTATTCCTACTTATTGATTTTTAGAATGTTTACAAGTTGATTCAATTTTAGTTCTCTTTGATTCTAAACAATGAGCATGATCTATTTGTTCCTGTTGTTCATCATTGTAGTTATGTACATGGAGATGTAAAGCCAGAAAACTTTTTACTAGGTCAGCCAGCTACAGCGCAAGAGAAGAAACTGTTTCTTGTTGACCTTGGATTAGGTTTGTTGATGCAATTTAAGTATAAATGTGTATATGAGGTTTCTTACTTATTATTAATCTCTTCTTAAAATGTGCAAATGTTTTGCAGCTACAAAGTGGAGAGACTCCTCCTCTGGACAGCATGTTGAATATGATCAACGCCCTGATATGTTTAGGTTTTCTTTTTTCTATTTTCCCCTACTTTCTCATTCTTTTTCGCAGTGCAATTTTGTCTTTGCTATTATATTTATTTCCCCCTTTTTATTAAACGGTTTTTGTTCTTGTATATGGTTCTCAATGTTCTTGAGCCTAATCTTTTTAAGTTATGTAGAGGAACTGTTCGGTATGCTAGTGTTCACGCTCATTTGGGAAGAACGGCTAGTAGAAGGGATGATCTTGAATCTCTTGCGTACACACTCATCTTTCTTCATAGGGGCCGATTACCATGGCAAGGTTACCAGGTACATTTTTTTGATACACTTGCTGAGTACTTTACTGTGCAAGTTGTATTCCTTTCCTTAACATATCCTATATCAATCTTGTTTTACCTTGTCTCTTAGGGTGATACCAAATCCTTCCAAGTTTGCAAAAAGAAAATGGGAACATCTCCTGAGATGTTGTGCTGCTTTTGCCCTGCTCCTTTTAGGCAATTTCTTGAGACTGTAGTGAACATGAAATTTGATGAAGAACCTAACTATTCCAAGCTAATATCTTTGTTTGATGGTATAATTGGACCCAATCCAGCATTGCGGCCAATTAATACCGAAGGCGCTCAAAAGGTAATCACTAAACTGCTTAAGTATGGTTTTGGAGGTCTTATATGTCTGGCTTATTTTTTTCCTTCCCTCTTCCTGATGGTCTTTGTGCTTATCATTATTATATGTCTACTCAACCAAAATTTTTCAGGTTGGGCAAAAGCGGGGTAGATTGAATATTGAGGAAGAGGATGATTCACAGCCCAAAAAGAAGGTTCGTTTAGGGGTTCCTGCTACACAATGGATTTCAGTTTATAATGCAAGACTACCGATGAAACAGAGGTAGAGCATTGCAATTACTCTTTTCAGCAGTTTCCTTTAATTCAGCAATCAAATAAGGTTAAACTTGCGCATGATATTACCTCTACGAGTTGCTTGTGACTTTTGAATTAGTTGCATTTTAGGTATCATTACAATGTGGCTGATTCAAGATTAGCACAGCATGTTGATAGAGGGATTGCAGATGGCCTTCTTATCAGTTGCGTGTCTTCTTGTTCCAATCTTTGGGCACTTATTATGGATGCTGGAACGGGTTTTACTTCTCAAGTTTACAAGTTGTCACCTTTTTTCTTACACAAGGTGAAATATGCTGTATGTCTTGCAATTCTTTTATAATCCAATTTCATGTGATTAAACTTATCCATGTGACTCCGTTTCTTTGCAGGAATGGATCATGGAGCAGTGGGATAAGAATTATTACATTACTTCTATTGCAGGGGCCAATAATAGCAGTTCTCTTGTGGTGATGTCAAAAGGTTTGATTGCTAGTAAAGTTACCTTTTCCTATGGTGATTTTTATGGTGATTTTTTTCCCCCTTTGGTTGATGAATCATTATATCCAATTTCATGGGAAAGCTTTTCAGGATTTTTGTTCTTTTTCCCACATTGAATTTTTCTCACCTGGCGATAAACTAGTTTTGGTGTTTACTTTGTGCTTTTATTTGATATACTTTAGGTTATTCAGTCATTTTTTGAGTCTCATTTTGTACCTGAAATAATTGCTGCAGTTGTTTAAATACTTTGCTGATAATAGTACCTGTTGGACATGGTACAAATAGCTTGCATAAGTTCCTTTCTGTTCTATATTTTGTCCCTACTTTTTTGTTCTTTTTAATCCGTGAGTTTTGTTTAGTGCTTTTGTTTTGACAAATATCTGAATTTCTGCAGACCACTACACAAAAGGATTCTATAGCTTTTACCTCTGATTTTGTTGTGATTTATGATCTAATTTGTCCAGGTACGCAGTATACTCAACAATCATACAAAGTAAGCGACTCTTTCCCCTTCAAATGGATAAACAAGAAGTGGAGAGAAGGTTTCCATGTCACCTCAATGGCTACTGCAGGAAGTCGTTGGGGTGTTGTTATGTCTCGCAATGCTGGATTCAGTGATCAGGTTTACTTTTAATTTGTATCCTACTATGTGACATATTGGTATAGCAGTTTTTTTTTTTTTTTTTGCTTTCTTTGGGTACGTGATTTCCTGCCCCTGTTCAGCATGTTTTGCAATGAAGGATATATCTCTGCTACTAGACTTCCTTTCTGCTCTCTCAACAGTTACCTTTTAAGTGTAGGTGGTCGAACTTGATTTTCTCTATCCAAGTGAGGGCATCCATAGACGTTGGGATGGTGGTTATAGGATTACAGCAACTGCAGCTACATGGGATCAATCTGCTCTAATATTAAGTATTCCAAGGCGCAGGCCTGGTGATGAAACTCAGGAAACTCTGCGTACATCACAATTTCCCAGCACACATGTTAAGGTAAGGGAAGTTGAATGACTAATTGATTTTGTAAGTTAATATCAATACTGATTCTCTCATGTTGGGTTGTTCAGGAAAAATGGTCAAAAAACCTTTATCTTGCCTGCTTGTGCTATGGGCGCACAGTATGCTGATTTGCTTTGCAGGTCAAAGGATTTTATTGACAAAGGAATTATGGATTGTCTGCTACCCAATCATATAAGATCTATTTTGTAGAAACTAGTTGTTCCAGCGGAGAGTCATGTTGTTCTCTGTTATACATTATTATTCTATTCTCTTCCCTTCTAATATATGCTCTACTTTGGTTGGGGAAAGTTGCAGCAGTTAAGCTATATATATTCCTCCAATATGTATATCAGGTTTTATCTAAAAACAATTTTCGCGTGCTTAATGCAACTAATGTTCAATTAGGTGTTTTGATGAGATTTTCAGGATTTTTTGCATTGTACTTTTATTAAGAAAAGCAATTGCTTGCCATGAATATCTTTGTGAATAAAGGCGAAGGGACCAAAATTAACACCCTTCTCTTATAGGTGGTCTGTTGATTTATGGGGAAATACTTTATAAATGACTGTTAGCCACGGAGGGCGTGTAAAGGCTTAATTGGAGTACGGCGTATGATAAACTTATTGGCCCCTTTGGATGAATTTTAAATTTTTTTTTTATACCTTGCTTATTTTAGAAATATTTTTTTATAGAAGTTAGATTTTTTTTAAAAATATTTGGGTTTTGAAAAAAAATTAAACTTTTGATTTTTGTTTATTTAGAAGCTAAAATTTGCAGTTTAAAAAAAAAGGAAGTAGGTTTTTTTTTTTTTTTTTTTTTTTTTTTTTTTTTTTGTAAAATAAAAGGAAATAGCTTTTGAAGAAATTTTTTTTTGGTTTACCCCAACATTCTCCACTTGTCTGAGCAGTTTTTGGATATCAAACGGACTTCTCCATGAGGTAATTTTAAGAGTCAATTCAATCGGGCCTTAGGTTTTTTTTGGTCGTATGTCAGAGAAATCTAGAATGTATTATAACAGGTATTAGTTTCAGAGATAAGATTCTGCAGAAACATCCCAATCTATCTGCCATAATGCAAAAAATATGCAATTATTCTTGTGACGATAAAATAATTAAGTGAAGTATAACTGTGCCTAAACAGATTAGCAAACGCAGTTATGTGGTCTTGCAAGTGCAACTGGAAGGTGCGTGGCGTAGATTATTTTGGGACATTGACCGTACTGCCCCTTTTATAAGAATAATATACTTGAATGTCACATTTTTAAAAAAATATACCACACTATCATGGTACCATAGTTGCTAAGTTACTCAGCTACTATGGACCGGACACGTGACCTTCTCTGGTGGTTGAAAAAGCATAGGAGGTTTGGTTGCCCAAAGTTACCTTATGCTACCTTATGTAGCGACTTTGAGTTGGGTTTTGATCAAAGTAGTCATGATATAGAGTGACTATGGAATACTTTTTCTGATTATTCAAAGTCGCTGGGTAAGGAAGCTAATTTGGCCACTACCCATTGCAACCAAAGTAGCTAACATAGGTAGCAGCTACATTGGTCTTATAAGACATCTCACGGCCATACAGAAATTGTTCAGTCATGTCTGTGTTACTTTTTTACTTTTCCATTTTTTACACTAATTTAAAATAAAAAATATAATATTAAGTATCCTATAGTTTACCGTAACTAATTCATCTAAGAAAAATAATTCATATTAAATAAATTATGGTTTAATACTAAGAGAAAAAATATAATTAAAAATTTAAATATCATTTATCCTAATATCTCAAGTACCCAAAAATAATTACAATTAAATTAAATATATACAACACAAATATTGAAATAAAATATTAAAATTCATTTATAAAACTAATTCATTTAAGAAAAATAATTCATATTGAATAAAGGCCCGGTTGGACCGGACATGTGCCACTCCCCTGGTGACTGAAATTATTTTAGAATTATTAAGTATCTATATTTACTGTAACTATATATTTGGGTACTTGAAATATTAGGATAAATGATATTTAAGTTTTTTATATTTTATTTTTCTCTTAGTATAGGATTAAACAATAAGTTATTTGATATGAAATATTTTTTTTAGATGAATTAGTTACGATAAATTATAAGATACTTAATATTATATTTTTTAATTTAAATTAACGTAAAAAAAAGGAAAAGTAAAAAAATAACACAAACATGACTGAACAATTTTGGCATGGGTGTGAGTTGTTTTATAAGACCAAAGTAGCTACCTATGTTAGCTACTTTGATTGCAATGAGTAGTGGTCAAATTAGCTTCCTTACCTAGCGACTTTAAATCATATACCAGTCAATGCATATCATGGCTTCTTTGATCAAAATTCAACCCAAAGTGGCTACATAAGGTAGCTACTTTGGGCAACCAGGCCTCGCTTTTTCACCCCAGTGAAGTGCCACGTGTCCCGTTCATATTAGCTGAGTACCTCAGCGACTATGGTACCGTAGCAGTGTGGTATATTTTTTCAAAGGTATGACATTTAGGTATATTATTATTATAAAAGAGGCCGTACGGTCAATGTCCCGATTATTTTAACATTGAGGTTTTTGATTTATTATTTAATAATTTTATCATATTTTATAATATCTTGTTGATTTTAACTTTTAAGTTAAAATTTTTTATTCAACAACTTTTTTTTTGGGTAGACCGATTTAACATTATTTATTATTTAGGAAATTTATCATATTTTAATTATAAGTTCGCTTTTTCTTCAGTCAATGTAAATAACTTATTTACGTTGAGCCTAAAGCGATGTTGTTTTGAGGTGGAAATCAAGGTATTTTTATAATTATAATTTGTTTCAGGGTTATAATCTCTTTTCTATTATAATTTTTAATTTTTCAACCCAAAACGACGTCGTTTTGGGAGCGAATGTAAATAACCTATCTACATTCAATGTAGAAATATTAAAGCTTTTAATTTCTTTTTATTTTAATATAAAATATTATTGGATTTGGTGTTTGTCATTTTAAATGACATAAGTTATGTCATTTTAATAGAGAGATATACACAAGAAATGAAAATCATGGGAGAGAAAGTAGGTGATTTTTTTTAATTTAAATTTTAAATAAAAAAATATTTTCTTGTGTCTATCTATCTCTTAAAATGACATAACTTTATGTCATTTAAAATGACAAACACTTCTCTCAATATTATTATCATAAATATAAAAAATATAAAATATGATTTTTTTAAAAAAAATTGAAAAGAAAAAATGCTTCAAATATAAAATACATAGTTGTAAAAAGAGAATAAATGGATAAGCCAATTTGATCATAAAGCTAATCGCTTGGCTAATTTAGTTGAAAGATTTAATCATTTTATAGTTATTACGATGGTTTTGATTCTTTTAAACGGGATAAAAATATGATCATTAAAAATATAAATTTTTATCATTTAAAAATTATTTAAATGGTTTTTTGACCAAAAGTTAACAAAATGACATATCAATGTGTTATGGAATATTTCCATATCCTAACCACCTACCCAAGGATCCCTTAAAGGATAACTACCCAATTATCCTAACAATATAAAACAGTAAGGCTGCTAAGGATAGAATCCCTATCCCAACAGAAAGGAAGTTAAATCCTACTACAACTGGGAGATCTACACAAGCCCAAGAGGTAACCCTTATAAATAAGAGGTTAAAGACCATAGGTACGTACTCTGAACTCATTTACTACTTCTGCCCACACTGTGCCCACACCCACGTCTCGGCTATAAGCCTATTGCTTGTGCGCAGTGATGGGGATATTGGCTATAAGCCAACCAAGATACCTATCCATAGGATATCTCTGAGCGCATACCCTTGAGGTATCATTATACGATTTAATAGAACCGAACATTGGCGTCGGCTGTGGGGAACCGTAAAGTTTGATTCCCACCCAACTATAGTGAGCACGTAGAGCACAAGCGTAAAGCCACGGATAATCACCACGGTAGTAAGAGAAGCGCTGCCACAACCAAATCTTAATACAATAGGCTCACCATGAAATAAAAAAGCATGAAGGGCGATCGTCGTGCAAGAAGCTCAAGAACCCCAATGCCAACGAGAATCTCCGTCTCTACAAGACCAAGGCATAAAAATCTGGGTTCAGATTAAAAAAGCATCCGCAAAAGAAGCGGGGCTCAAATTAAAAGATCACGGCGTAAAAAGCCAAGATAAGATAAAAAAGCCTCTGCGAAAGAAGCGGGGCTCAAATTAAAAGACCACGGCATAAAAAGTCGGGTTTAGAATAAAACGCCTCTGCGAAAGAAGCGGGGCTCAAATCAAAAGACCACGGCATAAAAAGCCGGGATAAGATAAAAAAGCCTCCGCGAAAGAAGCAGGCCTATAAATTAAAAGACCGCGGCATAAAAAGTCAGGTTTAGATTAAAAAGCCCCCGCGAAAGAAGCATGGCACAAATTAAAAGACTACGGCATAAAAAGTCGGGTTCAGATAAAAAAAGCCAACAAAGGGCTTCAAGTTTAAAAGTTCAGCCTCAGCCTTGAGCTTCAACTCAGCCCAACAAAGGGCTTCAAAATTACTAGGTCGGCCTCGGCCTTGAGCTCAGCTCAACGAAGGGCTTCAAGTTTAAAAGCTCGGCCTCAACCTTGAGCTTCAACTCAGTCCAACAAAGGGCTTCAAAATTATTAGCTCGACCTCGGCCTTGAGCTCAACCCAACGAAGGGATTCAAATTTATTAACTCAGCCTCAGCCTTGAGCTCAGCCCAACGAAGGGCTTCAAGTTTAAAAGTTCGGCCTCAGCCTTGAGCTTCAACTTAGCCCAACAAAGGGCTTCAAAATTATTACCTCGGCCTAGGCCTTGAGCTTAGCCCAATGAATGGCTTAGAGTTTAAAAGCTCGGCTTCAGCCTTCAGCTTCAACTCAGCCCAACAAAGGGCTTCAAAATTATTAGCTCGACCTCGGCCTTGAGCTCAGCCCAACAAAGGGCTTCAAATTTATTAGCTTGGCCTCGGCCTTGAGCTCATCCCAACAAAAGGCTTCAAGTTTAAAAGCTCGGCCTCAGCATTGAGCTTCAACTCAGCCCAACTAAAGGCTTCAAAATTATTAGTTCGGCCTCGGCCTTGAGCTCAGCCCAACGAATGGCTTCAAGTTTAAAAGCTCGGCCTTAGCCTTGAGCTCCTACTCAGCCCAGTGAAGGGCTTTAAAATTAAAAGCTCAGCCTCAACTTTGAGCTTCAACTCTGCCCACCAAAGGGCTTCAAAATTATTAGCTCGGCCTCGGACTTGAGCTCAGCCCAACAAAGGGCTTCAAGTTTAAAAGCTCGGCCTCAGCCTTGAGCTTCAACTCAGCCCAACAAAGGGCTTCAAAATTATGAGCTCGGCCTCGGCCTTGAGCTCAGCCCAACAAAGGGCTTTAAATTTATTAGCTCGGTCTCAGCCTTGAGCTCAGCCCAACGAAGGGCTTCAAGTTTAAAAGCTCAGCCTCAGCCTTGAGCTTCAACTCAGCCCAACAAAGGGCTTCAAAATTATTAGCTCGACCTCGGCCTTGAGCTCAGCCCAACGAAAGGCTTCAAGTTTAAAAGCTCGGCCTCAGCCTTGAGCTTCAACTCAGCCCAACAAAAGGCTTCAAAATTATCAGCTCGGCCTCGGCCTTGAGCTCAGCCTAACAAAGGGCTTCAAGTTTAAAAGTTTGGCGTCAGCCTTGAGCTTCAACTCAGCCCAACAAAAGGCTTCAAAATTATTAGCTCGGCCTCGGCCTTGAGCTCAGCCCAACGAATGGCTTCAAGTTTAAAAGCTCGGCCTTAGCCTTGAGCTCCTACTCAGCCCAGTGAAGGGCTTTAAAATTAAAAGCTCCGCCTCAGCTTTGAGCTTCAACTCTGCCCACCAAAGGGCTTCAAAATTATTAGCTCGGCCTCGGCCTTGAGCTCAGCCCAACAAAGGGCTTCAAGTTTAAAAGCTCGGCCTCAGCCTTGAGCTTCAACTCAGCCCAACAAAGGGCTTCAAAATTATGAGCTAGGCATCGGCCTTGAGCTCAGCCCAACGAAGGGCTTTAAATTTATTAGCTCGATCTCAGCCTTGAGCTCAGCCCAACGAAGGGCTTCAAGTTTAAAAGCTCGACCTTAGCCTTGAGCTTCAACTCAGCCCAACAAAGGGCTTCAAAATTATTAGCTCGACCCCGGCCTTGAGCTCAGCCCAACAAAGGGCTTCAAATTTATTAGCTTGGCCTCGGCCTTGAGCTCATCCCAACAAAAGGCTTCAAAATTATCAGCTCGGCCTCGGCCTTGAGCTCAGCCTAACAAAGGGCTTCAAGTTTAAAAGTTTGGCCTCAGCCTTGAGCTTCAACTCAGCCCAACAAAAGGCTTCAAAATTATTAGCTCGGCCTCTGCCTTGAGCTCAGCCCAACAAACGGCTTCAAATTTATTAGCTCGGACTCAGCCTTGAGCTCAGCCCAACGAAGGGCTTCAAGTTTAAAAGCTCGACCTCAGCCTTGAGCTTCAACTCAGCCCAACAAAGGGCTTCAAAATTATTAGCTTGACCTCGGCCTTGAGCTCAGCCCAACAAAGGGCTTCAAATTTATTAGCTTGGCCTCGGCCTTGAGCTCATCCCAACAAAAGGCTTCAAGTTTAAAAGCTCGGCCTCAGCCTTGAGCTTCAACTCAGCCCAACAAAAGGCTTCAAAATTATCAGCTCGGCCTCGGCCTTGAGCTCAGCCTAACAAAGGGATTCAAGTTTAAAAGTCTGGCCTCAGCCTTGAGCTTCAACTCAGCCCAACAAAGGGCTTCAAAATTATTAGCTCGGCCTCGGCCTTGAGCTCAACCCAACAAAGAGCTTCAATTTTAAAAGCTCGGCTTCAGCCTTGAGCTTAGACTCAGCCCAACAGTGGGCTTCAAATTTATTAGCTCGGCCTCGGCCTTGAGCTCAGCCCAACGAAGGGCTTCAAGTTTAAAAGCTCGGCCTTAGCCTTGAGCTATAACTCAGTCTAGTGAAGGGCTTCAAATTCACTAAAAGTTTGGCCTCAGCCTTGAGCTTCAACTAAGCCCAAGAAAGGGCTTTAAAATTATTAGCTCGGCCTCGGCCTTGAGCTCACCCCAACGAAGGGCTTAAAGCTTAAAAGCTCGGCCTTAGCCTTGAGCTCCAATTCAGCTCAATGAAGGGCTTCAAGATTAAAACTCGGCCTCAGCCTTGAGCTTCAACTCAGCCCAAGCCATAGCTTCAGGCTCCGAGATCAAAATGAAGACAGAATTTGAGAGTTGTGATCCTAGCCAAAGGATTACACCCCGATCCGAAAAGAAGAAGAAGAAGAAAGATAGAATTGGAGAGATGTGATTTTACGAAAAAGGATCACACCCCAATCCGATAAGACGAATTTAGAGAGATCGTGATCCTAGATCCTAGAAAAGGATCACACCCCAATTTAAGATAAAAGACAAATCGAGACGGTATGCGAAGCCGGGCTCAAACAAAATATGGAAAAAAGTCTAGAAAAGCCACGGTACGTTAAGCCGGGCTAAAATCAGAAAGGAAAATATACTGCCTTCAAAAGTGTAGGCAAGGCAAAAGCCAAGTCAATTTAAAGAAAGCTATGGTATAAGAAGCCGAGCTCAAAGTCAAAAAAAGGCAAACACCGCCTCACCACTCAGAGACCTCAAGAGAAAAGAAGCCAATATAAAAAACTAAACCAAGAAGAGGTAGCCGCACCAGACCCAAGGCAGGATCATAGTACCTCGGTAGGGTCGACCTATCAATCAAACTTAGGCACCCCAGCAGTCCGAGCTTCCGAGCTGCCGGGCTGGGGGGCAACTGTTATGGTATATTTCTATATCCTAACCACCTACCCAAGGATCCCTTAAAGGATAACTACCCAATTATCCTAACAATATAAAACAGTAAGGCTGCTAAGGATAAAGTCTCTGTCCCAACAGAAAGAAAGTTAAATCCTACTTCAACTGGGAGATCTACACAAGCCCAAGAGGTAACCCTTATAAATAAGAGGTTAAAGACCCCAGGTACATACTCTGAACTCATTTACTACTTCTGCCCATACTGTGCACACACCCACGTCTCGGCTATAAGCCTATTGCTTGTGCGCAGTGATGGGGATATTGGCTATAAGCCAACCAAGATACCTATCCATAGGATATCTCTGAGCGCATACCCTTCAGGTATCATTATACGATTTAATAGAACCGAACACAATGGATAGATCCTACATTTGACATAATGCTATTAATTGGGGAGGTTATTTTTTACTCATTTTTGGTTCAATAGAAAAAGAAATTAACACGAAAAAGAAAAGGAACTTGAGCCTTTTTTGGATTTTAATACTGGTATTTATACAAATTAAACTAGATGCTTATGAAATTACAATTACATAATGCAATCATGTGCTCATTTGCATATATTCATGATTGATATCATTCTTTTGTTATATAATAGCACTAGGATTATTATGAATTTTTAAATCATTATTTTTTTGTACACTTATTGCTTGACACTTGTTTCAAACTTGAGAAATATTTGGATGTTAGATATTAAAAATAAAAAATTAACATTGAATCTACTTATTTGTTTTTTTTTCCAATATTTTAATTTTTTAGGCAGTTTGATCAGCTAACTCATAGCAAAATGGAATGAGTTGATATTTCCAAAACACTAACTAATAGCGAGTCAAACCGTCCCATGAAACGAGGGAGTTTAACTTGCTTTACAATCTAGTCTAAAGGTAGTTCCATGAAATTAAAATAATATATGCTTTTGTAGTATATTTTTCTGTATGATACATTTCGATCAAATTAAAGGTAAATTATTACATTTTTGTTTACAATTTATTTCGAGAAAAAATATATTTTTTAAAATACTCTCTCAAGAAGTTACTAAAATTCAACCATTGAAAGACCAGGTAACCAAACTTATTTGTGATTTCTGGAATTACCCCGAACTCATTGCTACCATTAATTCGACTCTCTTGGTTCTTATTCCCAAGAGCTGAGAAATGTATTTCCCAGTTCAGACCAATCTCTCTTTACGTGTCATCTACAAAATAAACAGCAAGGTCATTGAGATGCTCTGCGTACATCTCAATTTCCCAGCACGCATGTTAAGGTAAGGGAAGGTAAATGACTAATTGATTTTGTAAGAATTATTTTTACTCCACCGTTTGTTACAAAGGATTTTTTAGGATTCCGAAAAACTGAAAGTGGTATTCTTATTTATCCACGTTTGGTATGAGATTTTTAATTTTTTTTCAGGAATCCGATTTTCTCGAATTTTTTTTTTTTTAAAATATCATCCAAAAATACCATACACAGGATGGTATTCTAAGATTTCTATGACAAGGAATTTTTTTATTTTTTTTTTGTAATAATGACAAGAAAAATTTTAATATAACCAAATATAGTATCAAGAAAATCAACCCAATATTTCTAGAAATATGTAAGTCTACCAAACAATTTTTTGATAACATTTCCGGAAAACTCATTTTCCAATCATATTTATGAAAATCGTGATTCTTGAATAATTTTTTTTTTCTCCCCTACCAAACGCCCCCAAGAGAAATCTTTATCATTAATTTCTCTCACCCTTTTTTATTTTTATAAAAAATGATTGAGATGCTCCCAGAAGAAAAACAATGAAAAAACATCTTCTAGTTGCAGCAGCTTGGAAGTGTCAGAATAAAAGTAAAACATATATTTATTATAAAGGAGTACATTCAAACAGCAGAAAACAGATTCACTAGAAGATGTTCAAATAAAACATTATTAGAAAATTGCTTCTACATATGCTTGGCAAATATGGCCTCGACAACACCTTGAGCAATTGGATGGTAACTCTCACGAGCCTCTGAGAAAATTCTTTTGGCAAATACTTTATCATCTTCCCTCCCAGCAGCGCCTTTAACAAGAGCAGTGTAAAGTGGACGAAGATACTTCATCCTCCCAACTCCTTTTAAGGTTTTCTCCACTTCACTATAGTAAGCTTTGCATCCACATGAAATAGCCCGTTGGAGAAATGACACCTTTACCTCATAATCTTTTGATTCGGATAGCTTGTAGCGTGAATCCAATGCTATGATCTGCATGACATGCATTCTACAACTTAATATACAACTGCCAATCTAGTATGGGGTAAAAGAGGCTTGAAATTTAGTGAAAGTTGATTTTTTTGGCAAAAAGTTATGCTTGATGCATTAGTGTTTAAAGGTTAATACTTGATGAGGTGATACAACTCTCTAAAACTAAAGTTATGGTTAATTAAAGGTTAGTATTAGATGAGATGTTTACAGAAAAAAATACCTAAAAGAGTATCGAAATAATAACTAGATCTTTATTCAGAATTCAGAAATTAGCATTCTCCTCCTTCCCGTAATGTTTTATTCTTCTCATTCATACCAACTAATTACCAAACAGACTGTAAGTACTTATCAGCATTCCAGCAGAAAAAGCCTGTGACCAACCTATCAAATCAATAGAAATGTGTAGAAAAACTAGCTAATTTATAGCACCTAAATTAATAGTAGTCTAAAACAACTTCCAAATATGCTTTTCCGGTCATAAATTACTTCTGTCCATCTGGGAAGCATTTCATTAATATTTGACTGATAAGACAATATAAATATACCATAAGCAACATTCGCATATGAAATTCAAACATTAAGTGGTCAATGCCAAAACAAAATACCAGAAAACAATTAATTCTCAACACCTCAAAAACAGATAGGAAATGACAAATCACACCCAACACTAATATCACGTGTAAGAAAGAGCAGACAAATTTCCATTGATGGGGCTATATTCCAGTCAATGAGCAGAAAGAAATCACAGGATCCATTTCAGCAATCTAAGTTACCAACCCCAGCATCCAAGAAGGGGAGAGACAAAGGGGAAGAAATGAAAACAAAGACATGATTTTCCAAGACCAGCAACAATCAAAATGGAGGATAAGCTTCCACAATCGAATAGTGATAATTTCCTTAAAGAGCGTGGTTAATTTGAATAAAACAACATAATTCGTATAAGAATGAGCAGTTCATCTCTATCAAGTTACCAAAGAAGGGAGAAAACAGTTTAACCTGAGAAACTTCAATGGATTTTGGCAAGTTGTCCAAGTAGAGCTCCCACTCCTGACCTTGCCAATCAGCAACTTCATCTTCCCCTGGCATCCTCCCGTTTATGGACTCATTTGCCAGCGATACAATCATTTTATATACACTGGAGTCAGGTTCATATGCATCAGGAGGAATGCCAGTACCTTCTGTCCACAGTACTAGGTCAATCTGATTCTCTATGCCAGGGATGTTTTCTTTAAGGAAGTCGAGAAATGTGTCTGTGTCAATCGACTTAAACTTGAAGGTAGCAATATATTTCTTCAGAAACTCATCAAATGCAGGTCTCCCAACCTGTACATTCCATAAGAAAATCAATTGATCAATATAGTAATCCATTCCAATAAATTAAGCTCAAGTTTAACTCCCAAAAGGCATTACAAGGATATTTTTTCAACCCAAAACAAGAAGAGCAAAAGAAACAGAGATGCAGAGTATGAGCATAGTTTAACATTTATTACTTTTAATAAATGCAGAATCTCCTGAAAACACAAAAAATATATGGAAGATGATTGCAAAGTGAGTTTATTACACAGGAACATGTAAACAACTTCACATACCTGTCGTTCAATGCGCAATAAGAACTGGAAACCTTTCTCATATGGAACCTGAGAATACACATCATCTGGGTTGATTCCTTCCTGATTAGTTTTTAGCTTTGTAAACTCCATATTGTCCTTGAACCTCTCTATTTCGTCATTTAAACCCCTCCAACCAATTCCAATATTCAATGAAGCTCTTTTTTCTCCTTGTACAACCTCCACAATCCTCCGCTCCGCATATGTAGTGAAGCCCTAAAACCACAATCAAGAATAATTTGAAGATCACGGATTCGATTTTGATAATAAAAGCCACAAACTAAACTGATACCAAGCAAGAGGACAGTGTTCTCCTTGTTAACTTATGAAATAACCAAGCTAAATAAAAAAATACCAAAGCCAGGTTTCTTGATAGCAGAAAACAAATGAAAGAGAGAATGCAATAGACAAAAAAGATTACATTTTTAATGGGAAAAACTTTAGTAATTTTGTTACTTGATGCTTTTCAATAATCAAAGACATGAACCAACAAATTCAACAAGCATACAGACTGTAAAAACATTATAACAAGTAATACATGTGGAATCCCAATAAAAGTAATCAAATAGATGAAAAAGCATTATACCTCATTCAACCAGAAATGGTCGTTGGTCTTGTTTGTGATCAAATTCCCAGTCCAGCTGTGAGCAAGTTCATGAGCCACCACCTGTGCACCAGTTGCATCCCCCTTAATCACAGTTGGTGTCAAGAACACCATCCTTGGATTCTCCATACCCCCATAAGGAAAACTAGGAGGCAAAACCAACAAATCAAACCTCTCCCACTCATAGGGTCCAAACAACCTCTCCCCTTCTCTTATCATGTCCTCTGTCCCAGCAAATTCTGAAGCAGCCGAATCCAACACTTCAGGAACAGCTTCAGCAAAGACCCTTGTCCTTGGCCCCACCTCCCTATTCCCAAGTTCCCCAACAGCAAATGCAAAAAGGTAAGGTGGCACTGGCTGCTCCATCATAAACTCCTCCACCACCCTCCCTTTTGCACACCAAGATGAATTCCCACAAGCCAATGCCATAGCTTCATCATCAATGGGAGAACGACGCTCCACGTGTCTTGCTGCCATCACTGCTGACAATTGACTAGGGATGTTCAAGCGCGCTGAATAGCATATTCTCACAGCTGGGGTGTCCTGGCAGGGGAACACAGCACGAGCATGAATGGCTTGACACTGAGTGTACACAAAAGGGTGTGCTTTGTTGAATGTTTGAGGTGGCAAGAGCCATTGCAGTGCAGAAGAAGAAGGGGAGGTGGTGTATATGACAAGAAATGAGGCATGGTTTGAAAGAGAGACAGAGAGTTGGGAACCCTTAATTGGGTCATTGTCAGAAAGTGAAAATGGGATCGGGGTGTTAGTTTGAGGGTCAAGTATGGAGTGAATGGTGAGTGAACGAGTGTCGAGGAAGAAAGGGCCAGAGTGAGGGTTTTGTAGAGAAATGAGTGCAGAGCCATGGATGGTTGATGAAGTGAAATCGAAGTAGAGAGTGAGAGAGATGTTGGTGGTGGGTGGGTGAGTGGAGTCCGTGAAAGAGTGAGGATCAACAGGTGCCATTGTTGAACAAGAATAGTGGATTTCGTGAATTTTTTTTCTTTTGGGTACTTCAAACAAATAGATGGTGCCTACTGCCTAGTGGTGGATCTGTCCTTGTACCGGACTAGGTAGCTGACTTTAAAGGGTGTTACAAGGAATAACGTGGAATATGATGCTTTTATTATCTTTTTCGAAACTTCACTAAGGTTGCCCCAAGATAGATGATGCTTTAAATTTTAATTGTTTTTTAAGGGCAAAATATTGCACTAAAGACGATTTGATTCTACTTTATTAGATATTTAGGTTGAGTAAACGAGGCTCGTATAAGATTTGCTTTGATTGTAATTGACTTTTTTTAGTTTACATATATATTCGACCACTTTGAAATATTCAATATCAAATGCACCTTCACATTATCTAATAAATGCGGATGCTTAAACAGTTTCGATTTAAAATGGTGGATGAATGAGGTTTTTTTTTTTTTAAAAAAAAAAAATTATCTGTACTTTCAAATGATATAACTTGTGTTATTATTATTATTATTTTTTGATAAATTATAACTTGTTTACTCTCGTAAAGAGGTGAGACCTACATCTTTATTTTTTTTATCTATTCTTTTTTCCCCATGAATTATCTCTTTTTCTAACTTAAAATGACATAATTTTATATCCTTTAAAATAATATACACTTTTCACAAAAAAAAATTTTAACGTCATGTTTATTTTAGAAGGATATTTTTTCAAAAGTAAAAATTATTTTATTTAGATGTAATATATAATTTTTTTATTAAATATATTATTTAGATGTTAAAATTAAGAGTAAACACCCTTTTTAGTCCCTGGCAATATCTACGAAGTCCTTTTCAGTCCCTAGCAATAAAAAAGGACCAAATTGGTCCCTGAAAGTACAAGAAAATGGCCACTCTACATATTTGGGAGTTGACATAAGGACTAACATGGCCCCTTTTTTGTAATTTCAGGGACCAATTTGGTCCTTTTTATTGTCAGGGACTAAAAAGGACTTCGTAGATATTGACAGGGACTAAAAAGGGTGTTTACTCTAAAATTAAAAAGTGATGTGCAGGCAACGACAATGATAGTGGTGATGGTGGAGTGATTAAAGGAGTGATGGAGGTGATGACAGCGATGATGAAAGTAATAGTAATTACAATAAATAAATAAATAAATAGACGAGAGAATGATTAAAAAAATTAAGCTAGTAATTGCTAATATAAGATCAGATTATATTTAAGAGGAGAGTTATTCTCGTTACCAAAATTTTCTACTACCAATTTACTACCTATCTAATCACCATTAGATTAACATTTTCTCTCTCTTCAAAAACTTTTTAACATTCTCTCTTTGATCAACGGTGATGTGATGGATAATAAGTTAGTAGTAAGAATTTTTGGTAGTTAGAATATCCTCAATGTATATTTAAACAATTTTCTAAAAAAATGAATCCTTGATTTGGTCAATTACCAGTTACAAAATTGTTTTAAAATTCTTTCCAATTGCCATATCAACTTTCTTTAAGGTGAGCAACCTCTTCGTTACATTTTCAACGTTCTTTTTTAACTCATCCCCGCTTCACCTCGTTTATTATCATCGTATTATTTTAGTAACTCTCCATGAAAATTTACATTAATTATCAATGAATAATACATTTATGTCTTCCTTATCATTTCACAGCCATTTAGCTTACCGATTCTTCAATTTTTCTTCCCCTTGTACGGATGACTAGGGTGTTAACGAGCCGAGCCGAGCTTTGGTCTTAATGGACCGAGACTGTGTTCAAATGTGTCAGACTGACCTTAGCCTATTACCTGTTACGAATATAATATCAGCTTGTGGCCTGACTCATATACAAAAAATAAAAGCCTTGTTTAGCATGTTTAAAAAAAATAAGACAACAAAAATTTATCCAAACAAAATATACAATCAACAGCACTAGTAATTCCATAAATATTCATAAATTTAATGTATATCTAAATAACATAATATAAAATAAAATCATTTAAAAAGTCTGTTAAATTAATAAAATGGGATGAAATGAATTGAGAAAAGAGAGAGGGCTATCACAAGTAGTATAAAAAATAAAAAAATAAAAAAAATAAAAAAAAATATATTAGGCAAGCCTGAGAGGATCTAAGGCCGAGCTTTTGAATTGGAGCCTGAAGCCTTTTTATTAAATGAGCTTTTATACAAATCCAAGCTTGGGTCCAACAATCAATTTTAGACATGTAAGCTCAAGCCTTCACGAGCCGAGCCAAAGATCCTGACTTGTTTAGCACCGCTACTGATGACTCTTTGGGTCGTTGTTCAACTATTTCTTTGCTCAACACTTGCATCAAAATAAAAAACAAAAGTGGCAATCTATGTATTAGTTTTCGCCTTTACATTTACATTTACATTCACTTGAGATGGGGAATGAAGGAAAAGAGGTTTCCCAATTCCCACAAGCTTGGATAAGGAATTCATTGTTGATTTTTTATTTTTATTTTTATTTTCTAAAACAGAAATTTACATTTAACTATGGGTAATACTTTTCTTACATTTAATTATGGGTAATACATTTATTAGAAATCTTTTACACTCATATTTTTTAAATGAGGTACATGAGAATTTTTTCTCTCAACTTTAACTCTTTTCTCTCTCCTATTTATTATTTGGATAGGAAATAATATTTTTCTTATACAACGTAATATTTATATTCCTTGAAGAAGACATAAGAATATAGGATGTGGTGATTTTTTTTTTTTTTGGGTACCTTAAACAAATGATGGTGAAGTTAGCTGACTAAAGTGGCTACAAGGAATAGCGTGGAATATGATGCTTTTATTATCTTTTCCTAAACTTGGCCAAGGTTGCTCAGGGTGTGAAAATAATACAAAATAACCCGATCCAATCATATCATAAAAATTAATAATTTTTCTAAACCGATTTATAGATTGAATATTTCTATCTTAACCAATTTGAAAACCGAGTCACATTTAAATTTGAGAAGCAAAATGGCAACCAGTTTTCCGGTGGTATGGTGAGGTATAAATGGACTGGGCTGAGCTAGGCTTTGGGTTAAATAAGTCAAGCCTATGTAAAAAACATTGGGTATGACCTGACCTATTAGCTTGTGTAGGTTCCAAATTACAAGTCTGACCTGACCTATATTAAAAAAAAAAGCCTTGACCTAGGCCTGTTAGCCTGTTTAAGCCTATTAATCATTCAACAATTAAATGAATAACTAAAATAATATTATTTTATTATTCAAAATTATTAAATAACAATTTTATTTATTATAATTTAAATAAATAATATGATATAGGCCAGCCTGTAGGCTTATAGGCCTGACATGTACAAAAAAGCCTATAGCTTGTTTTCTAAATAGATTTTTTTAAAAGCCTAAGTCTATTCTATTTTACTATTTATAATAGGCCAAATCTGATTTAATATAGACTAGGCCGTAGGCCCCTATAGGCCGACCTAGCCCATTTACACCCCTATACGGTACCCATTCCCAAATGACAAGGAGCCTAAGTTCCTATTGATAAAGCCCAAATGCCTTTGATATTGTTGGACCATAATATTATATCACATAGTTACATGCTACATTTAGGGGTTGTTGGGTAGGGCGGCAAAAAAAAATTCGCCAGGAAAATATGGTAGGACAAATAATATGGTAATGTTTGCTAGGAGGATTAGGAAAAAGGTGGATGGGAAAAAAACTTGATCATGTATCTCTTTTACACATGAGATGCTTGGAAAAGTTTGCCACCCATGGGGTGGTTACTTTTTTTTCTTTCTCCATGGCAAATAAATGAAGATTTGATGTGACGAAAATACCCTAAAGTTAATTTATCAAACCTCTGAGCCTAGACGAACACAGTTGAAGCACAAGGGATAGAAGAGAAAGATATGAACGTGGAGAGAGAGAGACACAAGACGCAAGATAATATTTTGTATGAGAACCAAATTCAATTTTCAAATTTGAGGGTTATTTTGTAATTTTACTACACTTTCCCATCAATTTTACAATCATCCAAACATAACATAGTAAAATTCACCGAACTTTCTCGATGAAATTTTGGCCTACCAAACATTTTTTTTTTAATTTATCTGGTAAAAAAAATTCTAAATTTTTTCCTAGAAAATATTTGTTCTCGATAAAAAGAAATTTCTCCTGTATCAAACACCCCCTTAAAGTAATCTGGTAAATTTGTTAAGAGTTCCGGAGAAGTATTTCATTAAGTTTTTCAGTTCAATTGTATGTATACGATTTATACAGAGTATGCAAGAAATAGTATCAGTATTGGTTTTCTTGTTTGTCTACTATCTACTTTAGAAGTTCTACCCCTTAAAAATAGTGTTTTAATTTTAGTCATAATGCATAGTCAGATTTAATTTTTTGTCCATTGAGAACTAGTTTTGGGATATGAAAAATATTGAATTTTTGGAAGAAAATGTGATTGACTAGCTAATGGGTTTCAGCTTGGCTAATGAAACGCACGGATTTAATGGCCTTCGTTTCTGGTTATAGGCTCTGATGATATTTTGATGTTGTCTTTCTTAGTAGTGAGAAACTGAGTATGATTTGGATATGTGGGACAAGTTATCTTCATAGTAGCTGTGATGTGATTGTAAATGCTTCGGTAATTTGATGGTTTCCTTATTTTTTATGCCTATAATCATATTTGATAGCATGAGCATCATACGTATAGATGTATATTTCTTCTGATTTTAGCATATTTGTATATAATTATGGAATGAGTATATGAGATGCATTTAGCAGAAGCAAGTCATATGAAGTTGTGATATGTTTGTTAACTGTTGTAATGATTTACCAGGCTGCAGGGTATTATTATCATGGTTTGATTCTTGATGAGGGAAATACAGAGAAATCTCATGGGATGGATGTAGGCATGTAGCTGCTTTGCAAGCAGCAGATGAGTATTTCAAGGAAATTAAGAAGTTGTGTGAGGAATTTGTTGGAAATCGACAATCACACAAAATCGAGAAAACAGAAAAAGAGATAAGAGTAGAGAGATTGACACGATGATTTACCCTGATTCACCTAATTAAGGCTACGTCCAGCTTGTCTGTACTATATTCTCCTCACCGCCACTCGTTACAAGTCACTCGGTTTACGAGAAAAATATAAATAGGATTAGAAAACCCTAACAGCAACTATTCATGGACCCAAGCCCAAACTGCTAAGAAAATTACAATAAAACATAGGCCCACAATAGTACCTAGCCTCTACGGGCCTGGGGGCAGCCGCCGGGGCGGCTCCCTCGGACCCCCGTCTGCTCACCTGGGAGCGGGACCCCAGTTGTCTTTCTGCTGACCTCGATAATTAGAGTTTTCATCAGCATGCGAAGTATGAGCCATACCCAACAGAATTCAATGCGGCACCTAGATTGTCAAGGTTATCCATTGTCTACCCTTTAATTTACACACTTGTTACGCGGTTATGTTACCTGCCCTCAGAAAACAGGTTTTTAGTTCTTTTTCTTACAAGTCATGTCTTTCTAAATAATGTGATACCACCATTACTTGTAATTACCTCCTTTAGCTGGAACTGGTAGTGAATACTTGGTATATATCTGCCAATTTCCATTAACCATGTAGATGTGGCCATTTCTTCTCATTGCACAAATGTGCATGGCCCAGACGAGAATATAATAAAGATCCTGGAATGCACATAATGCCTATGTGATTGTGACCATAAAATTACTATTGTAGCATTTGCCATTATGATTTAGATGAGTTGTCATTATAAAATACTATCTCATCTTGGACTTCAGATAAACGTGTGTGGGTTAAGTTTCTAGTTATGTGAGGCTATTCCTGGAAAATTTGGAATCTTGCTGGTTAAAGCAAAACCTCATTTTGGATTATAGTACCATATTTTATGGAAATGTTGATCCTTTTTGTTGTATAATTATATAATAATTGTAATTCACATACCGACTTATCGAGCATGCACACTATATGCATGTGAAGTTCTTATGCCTTTAGCAAATTTGGTGTAAATTTGATTTCTTACACTATTTTTTTTTCTTTTTCTTTTTCTGTATGACTGTTTACTTATTGTTTATTATTATTGTTATTTGGTTTAACTGCAGCTAAAACCTAGCTTTCAAGATACATCAACAAAAATGAATGAACATTATCAGAAAATTGTATGTTAAAGAGATCACGGAATAATACATACAAAATTGACACTGCATTGTTAGTTTTCTGAAGAAATATATATATAGGGTTTACATTTTTCCGGCCGCTTGACGTCTAGCAGTTAATTACAACATTAAATATGGGGAATTATAAACACACACCTGTCATTACTGGACGTCAAGCCGTTGGAGAAATGATTATATAACTTTCCTAGAATTTTAATTTTTTTTCCCCCAAAACTTGGAGCATGGGTCACTCTCGGCCTCTCACTCAAAAAAGAAGAAGCCTCCTTGAATGTTCCACATATGTATAGAGAGGATAAACTTGTGAAGAGACTCCTACTCTTTTTAACATAATCAGGTACTCGAGGTTGCTTGTTCAGTAAGGCTTTCTTTGTTTCTATCCTTCCCATAGGCTCTTTCCTTCCAAATGTTTGCCACTTCCTCAAACGTCAATCCTTTAGTCTCTGGCATGTAGATGATTACAAAACCAATTGAAATCACTGCTACTGCCAAGAGAATCATGAAACTCTCACCAAGCCCTACAGCATCAACAACTGAGAGGAAGCTGGTGGACATTAAGACACTGCAAATCTAGTTCACCGTTGCTGACATGCCATCACATATACCTCTATACTCTTATGGATAAATCTCAGAGTTCACAGCCCATGGTACAGGACCCATTCCTGGTGCAAAGAAAGCTATATACAAAGCCAAACCCAGAACTGCAAGCCACACAAATGTTTGGCTTGTGTTGCCATGTCCATGTCCTATAATATAGCATGATGCAGAGAGGATGACCAAGGCTGCGACCACACCCGATAAGCTACCAAGAGCAAGCTTTTTTCGTCCTAAAACGTCAATAAGGTAAATGCCAAGAACAGTAAAAGCTGCATTCATTCCAGAAACAATGAGTGAAAGGAACAATGCTGCTTGATTTGACTTGAAGTCAGCCATCTGTATGATTGTGGGACTGTAGTACATTATTATGCTTATACCAGTAAACTGCTGCAATGCAAACGTAAGTAAAGGTATTAGAATTAGAATTAGAATTCTACTAGCTTGCATTCATGCATATATATAATATCAGTGACTGTCAATTAATTATGAGCCAAACCAAAACATGCAACTGATCTATAGTTACCTGAAGGAAGCTACTATTCTAGAAGCCAGGCAATCCTCACATATGCTCTGTGTTTCAACTTGTCTTTGATGTTCTTTTCTCTCTCTACTGGAAAGCTATCCTTCAATGTTCATAGACATTTCTTTGTATGCATCCACTGCATATGGGACGTTTAAGCTAAGAGCTCTTTCTAAAGCATCTTTATGTACTTTTTCCATGGTATTCAATCTCTCAAACCTTATTTTACCAAAAAATAAAATAAAAAAAATATCTCAAACCTTTGTACAGTTGGAGGGACTCTCACATATTCGGAGTTCCTATAGGCTTCATGTTCAAAGGCTGATGACAGAGCTGTGAACCATTGATTTGAAGAACTTGCAAATTTCACTGAAGTAGCTCACAAAACACCCAGATTTGTTTGTTATCTCTGGTGAATAAAGTTGATTACTAATTTTGAATGAAAAAGTAAAATTGGGGTTATTTTTGTGAAATAACCCCACATTCCTATTACTATTTCACATTTAACCAAATACCAACTCAGTAACTTATCTAAATATTTTCGGGATCAATTTTGGTCAACCAAACACATTTTTGTAACTTACTCGGCAAAAAATATTTCCAACCACATTTTGGCAAAATTCTTTTCTAGATGAAAAAAATATTTCTCCTATACCAAACGCCCCATAAAAGACCTGAATTGTTATTGGAACAGTCTCAATTGCGTACGGTCTAACCTAATATTTATTGGACTGATCAAACTTGAAGGATTTCGTTCAATTTTTTTTTGCTCTATCTAAAATTACATACTAAATTTATAATATTATTGATCAGAATCAATTTGAAGCTTTAATTCTTAATTATATGTTAATTTATTATGTTTTGTATTTTTTTTGCTATATGATTTTTTTAATAAATAATAATGAATGCTTAGTCAATAAGTTAAAGTTCAAGCAAAAGTTTTTTTTTAAATAAATTTATATTTGGGATTAACACTTTTTAGTCTATCAGGAATTAGTACGGTAGTAAGTCGCAGTTTTGGGGAATAATCTTGTAAAGAAAGTCTCGTAATGACAAAGTAATAAGATCTCTCATCCTCTTTCACATTTTCTTTTTCAAGTTATTTCTTGTTCAAAGGACGACGTTATGGAAAATCTTCAACATAATAAATGATCGAATAATTACGGATATAATTAAACAAAAGCATGATGAAAGTCATGGTTACAAGTATCAATTCTTTTCCAACTATTTAAACTGTCTCAGTCTCAGATAGGTGTCAAGTCGATTTTAAATTGAGTCACACTAAATCAAAATTGTTACGATTATTTAATTATCATCGTATTGTTTTAGCAATGCTTCATTAATTAATGCATTGCCATTTTCATTTTGCAACCATTTACCTTAACACCTATATCATAATACAAAACAAAAGTGGCGATTTAGTTGATATATATTTGACTATCTATTAGTTCTCGTCTTTACATTCACATTCAAGTGAAAGTAAGGATTTCATGATGAAATAAGAAATTTACAGTTGATTTCCTTTTTTCATATACACAAATTTACACTTAACTATTTGTATTACTTGATGGGAACACTATATAAATTCATTATTAAATTAAGAGCCTATTTGGATCCTCTTATTTTTAAGCTAGAAACTACTTATAAGCTAAAGCTAAAAAAAAGAGCTTAAAAAAAGAAGCTAAAAACTATTTGAAAATTACATAAAAATTTTAACTTAAAAATTACTTAAAAACACATATTTCAAGAAAATTATCTCTCTATCTTTATCACTCTTCAATTAAAAAAAAACACACAATTTAAGAAAAACATATAAGAGCTTAAAAAAAAACTTTTAGTTTTTAACTTTTTTATTTATTATAAAAAAAGAGCTTTTCATTATAAGAGTTTTTCTCAAAATCTATTTGATCTAGCTTATGCTTATAAGTAGCTTCTAGCTTAAAAAAGAGAATATCCAAACCGACTTTGTATTTTCCATGCAATAGTAAAATTATCCAACAAAGTAGCAGTGGTTTGGGCCTTAGAGTAGAGAAGGGAGATGGCCCATGGTTAATGTAATCCATCAAGTTCCTCGTCACACTCACATCCAATATCGAAGAAGAGAAGAAGAAGAAGAAGTTTGGTTTGGTAATTGGAAGAGAGAGATGGACGACTACACGAGGGAGATGATGGACCTGAAGACATTGGTGACACGCACTCTAGAGAAGAAAGGCGTCCTCGCAAGGATTCGTGTACATTTTTCTCTTTCATTTCCTTAGGGTTTTCTTTTTCCCCTTTTCCCAAATCGAAACGTAGATAGATCCAATTGTGACTTAGGGTTATTGTTGTTTCAGGCTGAACTCAGAGCAAGTGTGTTTGAGGCTATTGAAGAAGAGGATCGGGTTATTGAGAAGGATCAAGGTTTACCTCCTGCATTGCTGGGTAGCTGCAACGATCGAGCTAAACAGCTTCACGCTTCTCCTTCAGGTTCCTTTCTGACTCTTTTTTTTTTTTTAAATTCTCATGTCTTGTGATATCCCTAGCCTAGTTTCTTATTCTTCTCATGAGACTATGTTTCCTTAATTGTTTCAATATTTCAATATTCTACTGCCTAAGATTCTGTCGTCGTGAATATAAAGTGAAATTCAATTACATGAATTTAGTTATTACTAGATATTACTTGATATGTTCGATCTGTCTTGCATTCTGATTCTTCTTATATTCTGCTTTTATTATTATTAATATTATTATTTTATCTATTATGTTATGCACCTCATTCCAACCTATGTTTCCTTTAAGTTTTGGTTTCCACCGTGCAGGTAGACTCCTTACTGCGCTGATATGTGAATACCTTGACTGGGCACAACTCAACCACACATTAAAAGTTTATCTTCCAGAATGTAATTTGGTAATTAATCTTTTTTTTTTTTTTAATTTTCCGTAGTATTTATCATTTTTATTTTATTTTTGCATTCTGTTAGTTCCCGTCGTGATGCTTTTTGGCTGAATATACTTTCTTGCAGGAAAAAGATGCTTGGAAGGCTGAGTTGAAAGAATTTAGTAGCAAAAATGGATATGATCTCAACAGAAACGGAGATAGCCCTGTACTTTTGGATGTTCTTGAAGGATTCTTGAAGTTTGAGGTTTTTGAATTAGTTGCACTCAATGATATCATTTTTCATCCTTTATTGTGCTTTTTTTTTCAGATGAACGTTCTAGATGCTCGTTTTTGTACTCAATTGTGTTCATGAGGGGTTTTTGATACTAAAGTATAGGAATCTAGGCTTGCTTATGCTACACTTTTATTTGGTTTTGTTATATTGAACCTAAGCAAAACCTTTTTATTGAAATTTTCTAGTTCTGTTCAAGCTAGCAAGCACTCGCCGTATTTTATACTATAGCTTATGAACTAGTCTCCTTGCACATGTGTTCTGTGCTTCTTGTAGTGTGATAACTTCAGCTTGGCTAGCTCAAAATCCTATTACAATGAAAGTTCTGTAGAAACGCTGTAGGGTTTTTAGGTTGGTTTGTTATGATTTTATGAATTATGGAGATGAAATATTGAAATTTGAGACTTGTGAAACTTCACGTGTTCTATGCTTCTTGTACTTGATATTTTTCACTATTGTTAAAAATGACATTGAAATTTTTATAGATTGCATGAAATGAAGTCTGCCTAGATTAAATGACCTGTAGGCTATTTCCTGGTCTTTTTGGTGATTTAAAGACCCTTGATTGAATGTGCATGTGGCATGTTCACTCGCGTGACTACAAAATAATGCGTGAAAAGAAAAATAAGTAACCAGATGTTTGCTTAAAATGGTACAGGTAATTGCTACTTTCTATTGATGATAATATATTGGGGAAATTGTCATTTGTCATGTGCAATCTAAAAAATTAATGATTTCAAACCTTTGGCAGTCCATTACTTGTGTAAAGTACAGATATGAGAACTGTTGCAGATATGTACTGACTTTTGATTAATCGCATGGTGAATATGCTTTTATAGAATTTATCACAAGCAAGGGCTAGTGGTAGGAGATTTACCTCTTCAGAAACTGAGCCTTTGCCAAACTCAGAATCCCGGAACATGCGAAGGCATTCTTCATCATCAGTTGCTGGTGGCTTACCTCCCCTAGGAAGGTGCATAGCTGATCTTATTTCTCTACAAGTTTGTCGAATACTACCTTATTATTTTATTTACTGGTATTCCTGCCTCTTCTCTGTTTCATTCTCAGTATAATTTTTTTAAGTAATAGACATGTTTGTTGCAGGGCTGTTCCTTCATCTCAGGCATCTGGTGGGTATTTCCTGTTACTGAATTTTATCTTACTTTATGTGCGTGCTTGAAATTCCCTTTAATTTACACTCTAGCATTCAGATAGAAGAGGAGGATCTTCTATGTCTGCTTATAGGAAGGATGAGTACAATTGGCGATATGACAGTGATGAGCTTCATGAGGATGTAATTCAAGCTTCAAGTGCTTTGGAAAACCTTCAATTGGACAGAAAAGCTCGGAATCTAACGTCTTCTTGGCGGTTCGTATTGATGCAAATCTGATGTTTTTCTTTTGCCATTACTCAAAGCACTTGTATTTTTTATTTTATCCCCATCTCGGTGGTTAGTTCTAATGGAATTCAAAGACTAATCTTTTCTGATTGTCTCTGTTGCTGCAGACATGCTGGTGATGGAATAAGTGAGGATGATGGCAGGGCTGATCACGTGTAGGGACAGACATTGCTTGTATAACCACAGTCTGCCCCTGTATTTCACGGTGTATTCTTAATTTTCTGCCCCTGGGGTGATGATTGAATGAGCCTAATTCTATGTAAGATCATTTAATTGTGATGTGATTTAGTGTTTTCTCCGAGCTTTTTTCTCTTTATAATTTTGCTTTTGGCTTATATTTGAGAATTTTATCTATTGAGTGTGTCGATAATTTAGGTCTGTGTTTGCGAAAATTATAAGCGCCCAATTGAGTACCCTATATTTTTTCTGACATCTAGTGAAATGTTTTGCGAGTGAAAGCTTGAATTCAAGGCAACCTTCCTTTCTAGGTTCTTTTTGTTCTGTTGAATTGCTTTGACAGAGCTAGAGTTCTTCTTTTTTTTTGTGACAAATGGCAGGACGTGTGGGCTGAGTCTTTCCATTGTGTGTACGAATTTAATATTACTTCAATAGTGGGTATACAGCTTTGAAATAATTCTTATGATGCTTAGGGCACGAGGATAATTGATGGCAAACAGGCTCATGAATGCTGTTATATTTGAGTTTTATAACAATCTATAAAACAATTACAACAGGTAGTAGATCTTTCTGTTCGGGGACATGTCTGTACTCGCTTGGTTCCTTCTATGCTTCTAGTCTAGAGATCAAGGGAAGGTCTGTCTGGAAGAGATTGAGATTATTTTTAGCAGAAGCATAAACAGATCTGAAAAGCGAAACTGGTGGTGGTGTACTTATCGATAGAAAAAACAAACGAGTAGGGTACAAAGTTGCAAGTTACGAAAAGATACATTTTGAAGTAAAAAATAAAAAAAATCAGAACAGCAAAGTTTTCTGTTTATGTAGTAAATTTTACTGATCTGCACCGAAATGTTCGCGTTTCAAATGAAGTTTTCTATTTACGCCGTCAACACCTGTATTTTGTGTTAATCATAGAGAAAATGGATCGATATGACCGTTATGTTCATGTTAGGGGTGTCAAAATGGATCGATATGACATGAATATGAAACGAACTTTTATTTGTGTCAGTATCGTCAACATGAAAACGATAGTTAATATAACATGACACGAATGATATGCAAATTATAGGTCAAAATGATAATTGACAAAAAAATAAAATAAAAAATAGGTTGAAATTAAAAAAATATGGATAGGATTTGTGTTGATAAGATACGAATTTTTTGTATTTTTTTAATACAAATCACAATATGAATTTTTTGTGCGGATCAATCCAATCACAATTTTTATGTCATGTTCCAGGTCGATCAACATGTCTTAACACCTTATGTTGGAGTGAGAATATACTAAATATTAATTTTTTTTAAAACTTATTATATCACAGCGTCAATGGTGTACCGATGCACATTTTACTATATCAAAATTAGGGTTGGTATTACAAAAAAAAAAAAAATAGGGTTGGCAAAAATGACATAAGGTGTTAACAATCAAACGAGCCAAAAATGAGCCGGGTTGGGTTGGCAAAAATGAGCTGCCAATCCGACCTAGCTCGTGAAAAAACAAGCCAACTCGTGGGTCAAACGAGCCAGCTTGTGAGTGGAGAATTTTTTTTTTAAAAAAAATACAAAATATAATATATAAAAATGGACAAAACTCACCCATGTTGTCATCATTTTTTCTTCCTTCTCTAAACCTAAGTCCCTAATCTTCTCACATCCCTGCAATTTTTATATTGTTAGGCTGTACTGGCTCTGTTTGGTTCAAATATTTTACCCACTTAGTAGCAAGTGGTTATGATTGTTTCTTAATGTTGATGCAAATTTGTTGCGAAGAAAATTCAAAAATAAAATATTTTGCTTTTATTTCTCATTTTGTAACTTTCTTTAAGCTGATGGAAGCCACATAGCTGGTGCATTAATACTAAATGGTTATTTAAACAGGCTGAAAACGAGCTAAACCGCGAGCAATTTTCGAGCCAACCCGCGAGCTATTTTTTCAAGCCAACCTATGAGCCATATTTTTGAGCCAACCCTAACCCGACTCGGGTTAGTCGGGTTGGGTTTTCTGACTTGTTTTTTTTTTCAAGCCAACCCTAACCCGACTCGTTTTTTCGGGTTGAATGCGGGTTGAGCCGAGCCGGACCGGGTTGGCCCGGTTTGCCAACTCTAATCAAAATAATGTCAAAAGAAGCCCAAGCACTGGTGGCAACTTACAATAAGTGAGAAATGGAAAAGAGCTACAAATATAGAGGCACATAGGATCTTAATTTTTGACTCATTTCACATTCGAGATTAGTCCTGATTTAAAAAGTCGAAGCTTTGTGGAGATATGTCATAGTTTATGGAGATATCCGGGGGATTCTACTCACCTTAAAGAGATAATTAAAGTTGATATAAAAAAAGAAAAAGAAAAAAGGGCACATAATTAACAAGCAAACGTATATTTAACACTTTTATTATATAGGTTATGTGATACAAACAGTATACATTTTGTTTCCGATCGTATGTGATAAGCCATATACAAAGTCATAACTTATATGATAACGGGCCTGAACTTATGTATGTGTTCACAAACCAATTTTAGAATATTTTCTATAAGTAGAGTTGAATATATTCTAAAAATAGTGTTGTAGATAGGATGGAATGTCTGGTCTAATGTCCTGATTCCGAGGTGATGGGGTGTTCTAGTCCAACATATTTAAAAAATAGAAAGTCAGTTTAGAGAGTAAGATTTTAGGAAACGCTGGGTTAGTTACGTTGTTGTCTGAAGAGGAGGAGGTTTCAATATTCTATTTTAAGATGAGGAAAAGTTGCCTAAAATGGTGGTCAGTTGGGGTGATTGTTTTTGTTTCTGTAATTCCTTTTAATGGGTACAATCTACAATGAATAAGGCAAAAGGGAAATTAGAGAGAGAGAGAGAGAGAGAGAGAGAGAGAGACCATATCAATTCCCCCAAAAGCCCTGTCACCCTTCCAAATCTACAGATCAAGGCTTCAACTTTCTGGCACCTTTTCATCAGAACTTTGTCCAAACCTTAATCATCAGTTCCATGTTAATGATAGTGGGATTTTAATGCATCAGGAGGTAATCAATGTACTTAAATTTCTCAACATATCAAGGGTATGATGAAAATATCCCTAATGACTTCTTTTGATGTAGAAATTAATCACATGTTTATTGTTTTAGAGTTTTGTTTGTGCAATTTCAAGAACTGCCCATGTTTCAATATGAATGTTTCTGGCAGTAAATGTTGATGCCACTTGCTTATTGTTCAATTCCACAATTATTGATGAAACCCGTATTCTGGATGTATCTGATAGATAGTTAATGATGGGGTCTCTGTATTGATTCTGATCTCAAATCCTTGTGCAGGTTTTGGGCATTGCAAATAACGTCTTTGATGGTTTCTACTTTTACATATTATGGTGTCATTATTCATTAGTAGGCATTTGATTTCTGGAGCTTGTGAATTGGGCTCAGTTACGTAGATGGTGTAGATAGAAAACTAGGCTTTTTCATATTGTCATTGACTTCTGTTTGATGAATAATTTGTTGCTCAGTTGTGTGGGTGAGACTATGTAAGTGATGGCATCAGCTACAATTAGGCGCATTGTATCACCCTGTTGGAGATCATCCATTGCGGGTGAAAAGTCTAATAGGAATGGGGATTCAAGTGGTCGTGTTAATGGTTTGCTGTGGTATAAAGATTCGGGAAGACACGTGAATGGTGAATTCTCAATGGCAGTTGTTCAAGCAAACTATTTGTTGGAGGATCAAAGCCAAATTGAATCAGGTTCCATGAGCTCAATTGCAGCAAGTCCTCAAGGAACTTTTGTTGGAATATATGATGGGCATGGAGGTCCAGAAGCTTCCCGCTTTGTCAATGACAGCCTATTTAAGAATATCAAGAGTAAGTTGCTCTTCAGTCTTCACCTTGGAACATTAATTGCTATTTTATGAAATCTCTTTTGAAATTGCATTGTATGTTCAGCATGGATAGTTAGTTCGCTATTGGTTTTTCTTTTCACAAGTACAAGGGCGGTATTATAATTTTAAGATGCTTGGTTGCTCTTTGCTTTAATAAATAGACATATATTCACAGGTATCCTAACTAGAATAACTTTGTATTCATTCATGTAACTAATTGTGCGTTCTTGTTATTTTGCGGGTGTAGTTGTGTTCCTTAAGCTATAAAGTTTTTTTTTTCCTTTTTTTTCCTCTGCTAAGATCATGTCAACTAGAAAGGCCTTACGGTAAATGGAGTTATTGAAATTTGATTTTTGATTTAGCCCAATAACATCGTTTGATCCATGTAACTAACCTAGTTAATGGGATATCGCTTGGTTGTTGTTTTTGTTAGATTGATAAGAACCATGTAAAACAGATAACTGGGTTTTTTCATTTTTTTTTCTTTGCATGTTTCTAAAAGCACAATGTGTCTAATGGTATTTTTTTTTTCGAGATCTTTATGATATTAGCATTTTATTTTTTATGGAATCTCCTTGTTACATATAAAATCATTCATGCTTTCACCCAACAGCTTAAATTTATGTATAGTTGATTCATGGCAGTCCTATATGTGGCATCAAATGGAGGAAGGTAACTAATTTCAATAAGGATGAACTGAATATATGTTCATTTACTTCATTTGATAATAGATTTAATTTATTTTTCAAACTATGTCATGTCTTCTTTTTTCTTTGTTGGGGGGAGGGGGAATGCTTGCTTCCCTCTTAAAGCCAATAAGCATATAATTTTTTGTTAACCTCGCTCAAATGGAAATCTCAGTGTATTATGGGAGATAGATAGCATAAGCATATGAACCAACGTATAACTTAGCAAGGATTGACAGGTTTAAGATTATTTTTTATGCCTTTACCTTCTCATGAGTCATTCAGTTAACATGGATCGCAAGACCACGAAAAATGGGGACTTTTGTGTTTCTAGAGTTGTTGTTTTCATACATTATGACTTTTTATAGCTGGTTGATAAGTTTGACTGACTTAACGGTTGTTGTTAATGCAGAATTTACTGCAGAAAATCAGGAAATGTCAGCTGATGTTATCCATAAAGCATTCTTGGAAACAGAAGAAGAATTTCTTTCTTTTGTAAGGAAGCAGTGGCAACACAAGCCACAAATAGCATCGGTTGGATCTTGCTGCTTGGTAGGCATAATATGTAGCGGGCAGCTCTATATTGCAAATGCAGGAGACTCTCGAGCAGTGTTAGGTAGACTTGATAAGGATAAAAATGAGATTAAAGCTGTTCAACTATCCTCTGAGCACAATGCTAGCTTAGAATCTGTCAGACAGGAGATGCGCACATTGCATCCTGATGATCCACAGATTCTAGTTATGAAGCACAAGGTTTGGCGTGTGAAGGGTCTGATTCAGGTGACATTTTTAAAGGCTTTATCTCAAGTTCTTGCATTTTCTTTACCTGCACCCCACACTCGCTAGTCGGGTTTAACGGGGAGTGGTTTTTAAAAGGGAAGTGAACCGGAGCAGTGATAAAGCTGTTCTTTCATGACCGAAAAGTCATGAGTTTGAATCCAAGAAATAGCCTCTTTGCAATTATGCAATGGTAAAGTTACGTACAAAGATTACCTCCACCCAACACTCGCTAGTCGGATTTAACGGAAGTGGTTTTTTATGTAGCCAGCATGATGAAAGTAAAAAGTTGTGTTGACCATATTGTTTATTTATATTGTAGGTTTCAAGATCCATTGGTGATGCCTATCTAAAGAAGGCAGAGTTTAACAAACCACCACTATTGCAAAAATTTAGACTCTCAGAACCATTTGAGAAGCCAATCCTTCTAGCTGAACCAGCAATACTAGTACAAAAACTCTATCCTCAGGATCAATTTCTTATATTTGCATCAGATGGGTTATGGGAGCACTTGAGCAATGAAACAGCAGTTGAAATTGTCCAGAGATGTCCACGTAATGTAGGATTCTAATTTAGTTGAGTTTCTTTTGTGTTTCTGTCAACTCTCTTTATGTTTCTTTTCTAAATATTTAATGTTCATTTGACTCAAACATTGTATTAATGTCTATGTAATTATTTTACGGAAAAAGTTATATTTACAAACTTTTTTGTTTACAAACTCTTATAAACTACACTAAGTCTGACCGGTAATACGTTCTTGAATAGAGTATTACCGGTCAGACATAGTATAATTTATAAGTTTGTAAAAAAATGGTTTGTAAAATTATTTTACATGACTGATCATTTAGATACCATTATTTGTATAAACCCTTACTGAAACAAATGAATGTGATAATGTGTCTACAGGGAGTAGCAAGGAAACTTATCAAAACTGCACTCTGTGAAGCTGCAAAGAAAAGAGAAATGAGATACTCAGACTTGAAAAAGATTGATAGGGGGGTGAGGAGACATTTCCATGATGATATAACGGTTATTGTTTTGTTTCTTGATTCACATCTAATCAGCCGTGCTAGTTCACATGGACCCTTCATTTCGATCAAAGGAGCTGGTGATTTTGGCAATGTATTCTAAATGCCTAGTTCAAGAGTTTTTGCACTAGTACCCACCATCTCTTAAATTTGTAGTCCCTTCACTGGGATAATGGATTCAAGAAATAATTTATTCTTTCTTACTTATTTCATTCTCCATTATGTACCTTGTTTGGTTTTCTTCGCTCTTATTAATTCCATAAAATATATTACACTTGAGGCAGGGCCTAACAGAAACAGATAGATGTTCTTTGAGAAACTTGTATACATCACCATTGTCATTATAACAATTAGCTCATTGGAACAAATGATTTATCAAAGAAAGTTCAAAATACCAAATTCCAACCAAGAGTTGCGCAAGTATTCAAATCACGATAGGCACCTGCTTGTGATAAGCTTGGTAATAGAAAATGGAGGAAGCTTAAAAATAAAAAATAAAAATGAAGGAACAAATACATATGTTTGTACACAAAATAACCACTTTTATTGTTTATTTTTCATAGTAAGAATTTTTATTAATAATTCTTTTTCTATAAAATTTCCAGCATATTATTCTTTGAGGAAATGCTAGAAAATTATAATAAACTTACTTTGAAAACGACAATCATTCTATTGTTCTGCAGCTTAATTTAATATTGTACGTTAATAAGCAAGATTGTTGAACATCTTCGATCTAACCGTTGTAAAAAAAAAAAATTGTGTGCGTCGTGTGCAAAGTGCCAACTGCCAACCATATAAACTCTAAAGTGGTGTTTGTTTACGAAATCATATTTAAGGAATGTTTGCCGGAGGAGATTACAAGAAAGGACAGGGGTGAAAAAGTTTTAAGTAAACCCCAATCTTGTTTAGAATTATCTTAAAATGAAAAGAAAGAAAATGAAGAATTATTATGCATATTATCTTTATATATCAAATACAATTTTGATTTTTCAAAAGTAATTAAGTCTCTTAATATATATATTTTTAAAATAAGACATTATATTTATTTTTAAAATTTTGAATTTAAACTCTTATAAATTATATAAATCTTAGGGAAGGATATTGTGACAACCAAGTTGTGTTACTACCAAGTGACTACCAATCAATCTCACCGTTAGATTAATTATGTTGATCCAACGGTTACATTTATTTTCATCTTTGTATGGTCATGATTTCCCATATTTAAAGTGAAAGCATTAAATATAGGAAATCATAACCATACAAAGGTAAAAATAAATATAAAGTATGAAATATAAGGAATCATGACCATACAAAGATGGAAATAAATATAACCGTTGGATAAACATAATCAATCTAACGGTGAGATTGATTGGTAGTCACTTGGTAGTAACAGAACTTAATTGTCACAATATCCTTCCGCATAAATCTTTTATATATTTTTTTAAAAAAAGTTAACTTATATAACCCCAATAAGTACTCAACCGTTTGAGTGTTCCTTTGGGGATGTTCTACTTGGATTTTGAAATAATAGAGTTCATACTAAATATTTTTGTTTTCTTTCATTTCAGGTTATGAAAAATATATTTATTCATCATCTAATTATGTAATGGTATCGTAGTATAACTAGTTTGCCAAAATTGAAATAAGTTAGTTTATATTTTATTTAATTACAATTATAACATTTTTTTTTTCAAATGACAGATGTGCAGATTCTTCTTTATCTCTGCACATATTAATTTATACAAAAATACACATATTAATAACATATATATGTGTGCGAGCGCGCGTGATGTGTGCGTATGTAAAAAAACCACTAAGTGTCTAAGTTAATGTCTTGTAGTCTGGTTCTAATTTGTTCTTTGAGAAGTTAATATGTGTAATTTTGAAACCTTGCGATACTCGATAAAAAAGAACAAAAAGTTTATCCACCAAATGTGTTGACTTTTCTATGTTCATGTTGTCTGTTTGCACATTCTGTTATCATTACTTCACTAAACACGACATCGTAATAATTCCCGTTTCACACTTTTTTTTTTCTTTGTATGTTCTACAAAATTCAGTTCCTCTCACTAAAAATGGACACTTTCTCTTCCTAAATCTCGGCAGAGACAGGATCATCGGGATGATTTGGTTTTTAATTGGAATGATTTATTTAGGCCCGCTTCAATCTTGAGACCGCATCATTTTGAGTAGTTGTTTGAAGTCATGAACTTTTAACTTCTTATAGATTTAAGATTAATAGATGTGAGGGGAAACAAACTGCGTATCGGTTGATTTATTTTGTCATAATATGTATCTTTCATGTTGAACTGCATTTATGCATTGTTTTTTGTTTTTTATTCTTCTTGCAGGACACAAAATAAATCGAAAAACCTAATAAGGATCGTTGGATTAGTTCCGCGAAAAAATCTGATAAGCTCCTAAAAAAAGAAACTACACTGCCAAAGCAACCGTTCACCTGGTAGGAGACATGAGCGATAAAGGTGAAAAAAATAGGTATAGCATAGAGGAAGAAAGGAAGGGGAGGAGAGAGAAAGGGTGTGGGAGGAATTGAGGAGAAAGAAAGGAAGAAAAAGGGTTTATTTATTTTGTAAATATGGACCGGATTAGATTGTAATCGAACGGTAATGAAAGGGTAGGCAAAGTAGACAAAATGGGAGTAGGCAAAATAACTTATCCCCTTATCTTAAAATGAAAAGAAAGAAAATGAAGAATTATTATGCACATTATCTTTATATGTCAAATAAAAAATTGATTTTTCAAAAGTAATTAAGTCTCTTAATATATATTGTAAAGAACCTTGGGATACACCACCCCAAAGCTAGCTCAAAGGGTGGGAGTGTCCAAGGCCTTATAAACTCCACATTAGTTACACATACAACCAATGTGAGACTATATATCTCAACACGCCCCCTCACACGAGAGCCCATTGGGCTTGAAGAGTGGACAATGCACAAGCCCACCTACCTGTGCGAAGAAAGAAATTCCCACTATTACTATGGCCATGGGTCTCTGGTCCAATCAAAGGGAATTGACACGGTTCTTCTTTTACCCAATTTATCTCTGGATCATGTTCTATATGTGCTCGATTCCCCTTTTAACTTACTTTCTGTTAGTCGTTTGACCAAATCCATTGACTGTGTTGTTTCTTTTACTAAAACCTCTGTTATCTTTCAGGATCGGAGTTCGGGGAAGGAGATTACCAAAGGATGTGAGTCTCAGGGCCTCTATCAACTAGTTCCCTCTTCTTCAGCCTGCTCCACTGTGGATTCTCCTCTTACTATCCATGCTCGTCTGGGCCATCCTAGTCTTGCAAAGCTTCAGAAGATGGTTCCTCATTTGTCGTCTCTTTCTACTTTAAATTGTGATTCTTAGTAGTTTGGGAAACATACTCGTAGTACGTTTCCGAGTCGTCTTAGCCGTCAAGATGTTTCTCCTTTTTCTGTGGTCCACTCTGATGTTTAGGGACCCAGTCGTCATTCTTCTACTTTGGGTTTTAAGTATTTTGTTACTTTTATTGATGATTATTCCCGATGTACTTGGTTATTTTTAATGAAAAAGCGGTCTGAGTTGTTTTCTATTTTTCAGTTATTTTATAATGAAATAAAAACTCAATTTGATATTCCTCTTCGTACTTTTCGTAGTGAGAATGCATGTGAGTACTTATCTCATCAATTTCAACAATTCTTTTCATCTCATGGCATTCTTCATCAAACATCTTGCCCTCATATACCTCAACAAAATGGTGTAGCCGAGCGCAAGAATCGCCATCTGGTTGAAACCACTCGTGCCTTGTTAATTGATGGTAATGTTCCATACACATTCTGGGGTGATGCTGTACTTACTGCATGCTATCTCATTAATCGCATGCCATCATCTGTTCTCAATCATAAGGTACCTCACTCTATTTTATTTCCCCATCAGGTTTTATATCCTTTAACTCCACATGTGTTTGGTTCTACGTGTTTTGTTTATCATCTTGGTTCAGGTTTGGATAAATTAGCTCCCAAGTCTCATAAATGTGTTTTTCTGGGTTATCCTAGGTCTCAGAAGGGTTACCATTGCTACTCTCCCACTTTACGTTGATACTTTATCTCGACGGATGTCTCCTTTTTTGAATCAGTTCCCTTTTTCGGATCCTCTACTACCCCTGTGGATACTGATTCTGTACAGTCGTCCTTCCCAGGTGACCTTCTTTACCTTCCGTCTTTACCTGTCCATGTTTCTGACTCTCCTTCTATCACCTCTTCTGCTAATGAGATCGAGCATAGTTCGTCAGATGTCTCTGTGGACTCACATTCAACTGCATCTCCTACTATGGCTTCGGTCCCACGTTCGGATAGTGACCTTCCCATTGCTCTTCGTAAGGGTACTCGTGATACTCGCCCTCCGGCCAGGTATACAGTCAATATTAGTTATCATCATCTTTCTCCATCATGCTTTGCTTGCCTTTCCTCTTTGTCCTCTTTATTTGTTCCTAAGACTATAGGTGATGCACTTTCACATTCGGGATGGAGACAAGCTATGATTGATGAAATGAGTGCTCTTCATCATAATGACACATGGGATCTGGTGCCTCTTCCTTCTGGCAAATCTGTAGTTGATTGCAGATGGATTTATGCTGTTAAGGTTGAATCTGATGGTCAAGTGGATCGTCTTAAAGTTCGCTTGGTGGCATAGGGTTTCACTCAAGTCTTTGGCTTGAATTTTATTGATACTTTTTCTCCTGTGGCGAAAATGTCTACTGTTCGCCTTTTTATTGCCATGGCTGCTATTCTCCATTGGCCTCTCTACCAACTGGATATCAAGAATGCTTTTCTTCATGGTGATCTTGAGGAAGAAATTTATATGGAGCAACCTCCTGGATTTGTTGCTTAGGGGGAGTCAGGTCTTGTTTGTCGTCTTCGTAAGTCTCTCTATGGCCTCAAACAATCTCCATGAGCTTGGTTTGGTAAATTTAGCAGTGTTGTTCAACAATTTGGCATGACTCGGAGTGCAGCTGATCATTCCCTCTTTTATCGTCATTCTGCTTCTGGATCTATTTATCTGGTGGTATATGTGGATGATATTGTCATCACAGGCAGTGATCGGCATGGGATCACTCGATTGAAACAACATTTATGTCATCATTTTCAGACTAAGGATCTTGGGAAACTTCGATACTTCTTGGGAATCGAGGTGGCCCAGTCTAAAGCTGGTGTTGTGATATCTCAAAGGAAATATGTTCTGGATATTCTTGAAGAAACTGCTCTGTTGAATTCAAAGTCTGTTGATACTCCTATGGATCCAAGTATCAAGCTACTACCAAATCAGGGGGAGCCCTTTTTCAGATCCTGAGCAGTATAGAAGATTGGTTGAAAAATTGAACTACCTCACAGTCACTCAGCCTGATATTTCCTTTGCAGTGAGTGTTGTCAGTCAATTTCTCAATTCTCCATGTCAAGAACATTAGAATGCAATCATTCGTATTCTTAAGTATATCAAGGCATCTCTAGGAAAAAGGCATTGAATATGAAGATAAAGGTTATGATAAAATTGTTGGGTACTGTGATGCTGATTGGGCTGGTTATCCAGCTGATAGGAGATCTACTTCTGGGTATTGTGTCTTTGTTGGAGGCAACTTGATTTCCTGGAAAAGTAAGAAACAAAGTGTGGTTGCTAGATCAAGTGCTGAAGCAGAATACCGCTCCATGGCGACTACTACTTGCGAGCTCATCTGGCTTAAACATCTTCTCAAAGAGCTTAAGTTTGGAGACACTGGACAGACGACTCTCATTTATGATAATCAAGCAGCTCTGATACCATGTAAAGAACCTTGGGATACACAATATTTAACTCAATTTTTTCGATAAAATTTCATTCAACCAAACAACTTTTTTTTTTTAATTTTTCTGCCTAACTCATTTTCCCATCATATTTCTACTGATTCTATTTCCCTAGTAATTTTTTTTTCCTAAACCAAACGCCCCTTTAGAGTTTTACTTGTTCCTGTGATCCTGCCCAACTTTTATTGTTAATTATGACGTAATAGAATAATAGTAATTGGAAAGAAAGCGTACAGTCGAAGTCAACTGTAATACATGTCACACTTATTCTCTATTAAGGTATAGAACCATGTAATACAACTGTAATACAACTGCCCAACTTTTAGAAATTTTGTGTGCGTCGTGTGCAAAGTGCGAACTAGGGGTGTAAATGGGCTGGGCTGGGCTGGGCTTTGGCCATCCTGGCCCAAGCCTACGTCAAAAAAAATTCAGCCTATCTGGCCTACTGGCCTATTAAAGGCTTTATTTGTAGGCCAAGCTCGCCCATTTTCAAAAATAAGAAAGCCTGACATGGCCTACAGGCCTTGTAGGCCTCCCACTATATATACTAAGCAAAAAAAATAATTGTATAGAGCAAAGAAAGCTCCATTCATGCATGCACTAATACTTCTCATAAGAAAAAAATGACAAACAAGAAAGAGTCAACATACTACCTCAGCTCTAGAATGTATATCATAGAGGAATAGAGTCAAAGAAATGGGAAAAATATGAAAAATACAATTACTGGATGCTGAAATAAAGTCTACAAGAGAATGTCATTCATTTAAAAATCTTTAAATCACCATCAAGATAAGGGAAAGAAGAGTATTATTGAAAGATTTTCATCAGCAACATCATAATCCAGCAAAGTACCCATTGCTCTATGGTATTAAGCTGCAATAGCATGTAAAATTTGGAGACATTAGACAAGTTTTCCTTTCATAGAATAAAATAGCACAAAAAGTAAGAGATATTAGTATTTGGTACTTTGTATCTTTGCCACATAAAATAAATATTATTTTATTATTTTATTTTAATAAATTAAATAGGCCAGCCTACAAGGCTGTAGGCCGGGCTTGACAAAATTGGCCTATGGCCTATTTATTAAAAAATCTTTTTTATAAGCCTAAGCCTACTCTATTTTTCTGAAAGGCCGGGCCTGTGCTGGGCTCAATGTAAGCCGGGCCGTAGGCTGGGCTGGGCCAGCCTGGCCCATTTACACCCCTAGTGCGAACCATTTAATTGTAAACTCTACGGTGGTGTTTGTTTATGGAATCATATTTAAGGTATAGAATTACAAGAAAAGGCATGGATATTTAAGTAAATCCCAGTCTTATTTGGAATTATCTTAAAATGAAAAAAAGAAAAAAAAAATGAAGATTTATTATGCACCTTATTTATATATCAAATCAAAATTTATTTTTTAAAAGTAATTAAGTCTCTTAATGTATATATATTTTTTTAAGATATTATATATATATTTTAAAAAATTTGAATTGAAATTCTTATAAATTATTTAAATCTTTTATATATATATTTTTTAAAAGTTAACTTATATTATCTTATAAATTAATCATTAATTTATATTGTCTATAGTTTTCTGCACTATAATTTTGATTTTTTTCTTTTATATGAGAGGAGAAATTTTTCTACAAACACATTTTTCAAGTGAATCACATTATTAAGAAATAAAAAAATATATATAAATCGACATAAGAAATACTTTTTCTAATAACATAAGAAAATATTTTCCCACAAAATAAGCTCGTAAAGAATGATTGTAATTTGTAATAGACTTTATAAATAGATTCAGTTAAATAGAAATGGAATTTTTTTTTATTAAATATATATTAGTAGAAATAAAAATAAAATGTGTTATTAATTTTTAAATAAATAATAAATACATAAATAAAAATATTCTTATTAAAAACATGATCCTATAAGGCTATAAGAAAATGATTATTATACGCATCCGAATTATATTTTATTTCATTTTTTTTGTGGGGTCCAAAACTTTTAATAGATTAAGATTTTATCATAATATTACAAGGAGTGTCGTCTGTCTGTACGCAAGTGACACACAGATGCGGTTTTTTTTTGTATATGTATTTTTAAAGAGCATCTCTCTTTCCCCTCTCATAATTTATTTACGTGAAAAAACTTTAAGAAGTTGGTTCTTTCAATATTAATTTATGGTTTGATACTTTTTGTGTGATATAAAATTATCTTTTATATAAATATTTTTTTTGTTAAATCACAAAATATAGACTCATGTGTCTATAATTTAAACATAAATTATTTATAAAATCTTATAATTGTTAAACTTCGATTAATGACAAGTAGCGTGCTAAACGGACTAGGGATCTTTGGCTCGACTCGTGAAGGTTTGAGCTTATATGTATAAAAACTCATTTAATAAAAAGGGCGCATGGTCTAATTCAAAAGTTCGGTCTTAAAGCCTCTCAGACTGACCTAGTATATTATTATTTTTTGATTTTATATTTTTATACTACTTTTAGTTTTTGTAAATAAATCAAGCCACGTATCGATAATTATTAATCCATATATCGATAATTATTAATTATATTTATATCGAGTAACATGTTTCTCACACTTAACTTTAAGACGAAAGCTATGCTCCGCTCGCTTTCTTTAACAGCTCTGATGACAAGATATGAGAGGTGCATAAAAAATGAGGCGTGAGTAGAGAGTGAAACCTGAAATAGAGTGAGGATCAGCTGCATAAGCATCGAATGGCTATAGCGAATAATGGTGGTGTGTTCTCACTCTCACTCTCAGGACTAAGGGGAAGAAGGCCAGAGCATTCGGTGCCTTCTCTTCCTTTCAGTTGCAGTGCCTCTGAAAACATTCCCATCAAATTCTCAACCACCCATTTCCATTTCGGTTATTCATTTCACAAGCTTCAGCTTCGGTCGTTTAACACCAAAAGAAAAATGTGCGGGGTGCCAGTGTCAATGGCTATGGCAACGGGGTATGTTTTCTTTTCGTTTGGTTGCTGAGAAACACGAGGGAAATTTTGATACCCCATTTTCTCGGCTTGAATTTATGGTGTAATGGGTTTCTTACTTCCTTCTAAAACTTGTTTTGGTATCTTTCTGTTGCTAAGGGCGCATGAAGTTCTTCCACCGCCCCTTACTTCTACTTCAGCCCCACCTTCCTTGTTTGATGGAACTACAAGGTTAGTTGATTTCTTTCTTCTTTTTCAGAAGAAAAAAAAAAAGAATTTTGAAGGGGTTCTTGTATATTCACTTCATATGTTTGTGTTATTGCTCGTATGAATACAATGTCATAGTTTAATCTGATAATGGAAAATCTTCTTTTTGTTTTTTATTATTATTATTTTTATGTGTGGCATGTGGCTGAAGGTTGTATATCTCCTACAAATGCCCGTATGCCCAGCGTGTATGGATCACCCGTAACTGTAAGGTTGTTTAAGATACCCTGTCCTTATCTTAGCTCAAATGATTCTTGCTTTGTGTGTTACTGTTTGGCACACTGGATTAGTGAGGTTAACTTAAGAAACCTTTGATTTAGTTTAAGAGTTACCATATTTGTTATATTTGTGTGTGGTTTTCATAATTTATTCGATAATCACAGAATCTCTAACCTTATATTTGTTGGAAGCAGGGATTGCAGGACCAGATACAATTGGTTCCTATTGATCTACAAGATAGGCCTTCTTGGTATAAGGACAAAGTCTACCCACCCAACAAGGTCATATGATACTTAACCTTTGTGCCAAAACCAAGCCATCTTGATCTTATTATATATTTGTTTTGAAAAATTAAGTATACCAAATCTAAATATTGATGTTTTGTCTATGTACTTCGAAATCCAGGTTCCATCTTTGGAACACAATGATGAAGTTAGAGGAGAGAGTCTTGATCTGATTAAATATATTGACAGTCACTTTGAAGGGCCCTCCCTTTTTCCTAGTGTAGGATATGATTTTTTTTATTTTTTTTTTACTTTTGATATTTATTTTCAGGTCTAAAATTTAAACCCAGTTTTTGTTTAATAAACAGGGTCCTGCTAAGGAGTTTGCTGAAGAATTGATATCTTACACTGATACCTTTTACAAGACCGTTGTTTCCTCATTTAAAGGAGATGTGACTGAAGCCGGTAAAATGACACTTGTTTTCTTGATGTAGTTAAATTGCTAAATATATATATAAACACCTAATAGAAATGTTAAATGCAGAGAGAGAGAGAGAGAGAGCCGCTTATGATTTAGATATAAATTAATAAATGAATGAATAAATAAAGAATAAAAGATTGTCTGTGAATGTAAGTAGCATCACTAACACCTTACATTGCTTTAGGCACTGCATTCGATTACATCGAAACTGCTCTCTCCAAATATGATCATGGTCCTTTCTTCCTTGGCCAATTCAGTCTAGTAAGTATACCTGAATTGATTTTTAGTAATGACAATGCTCAGCGTACTCTTATCCATCTTCACACTTATTTGAACTTATCAAAATTTCTGTAAACTTCAGGTGGATATAGCATATGTTCCTTTCATTGAAAGATTTCAACCATTTCTAATGGATGTGAAAAATTATGATATTAAAATGGGCAGGCCTAAACTGGCAGTATGGATTGAGGTAGAGCATACAATGATGATCTTCTCTATTTCTTTAAACATGTATATTATCTACTTGTGTTATGTTTGTCATGTTTATCGAAAACATCTTTCATGTTATGGGAAATAAAAAAACCATCTACCTGTCATTGCATTGAGGTCATTTTATGGTTGCAATGATTGCCTACAATGGTTCTGGAATCTGGTCATGCAGACTGTGATATAATAAGTATCGCATGGCCTACACCAGGGATCATTGTGCTTGGACAATTTTCTAATCTAATCTGTTACAAAGTGTTTCACCCCTGGTTCAGAGGACCAGGGGTTCTGTTCACATGGCTAAGTCGTAGGTTCAGCACTGCAGAAACTTGTATTATGAACTTCATTCATGAATTGAAATTGTGCTATTGATACAGGAAATGAACAGCATCGATGGCTACAAAATAACCCGATCTGATCCCCAGGAGCTTGTTGAAAGCTACAAGAAACGCTTCCTGGTACCATAAGACTCAACTTTACTGAACTCCTACATTGACTGAATTCACAAGGCCACTCAATTGCTGTGTTTTGCTTTATCCATGCTTATCTATAGGCCAATCCCTAAATCCAATATTTGGCGTTGGAGTACGAGTCAAGAGTGGCGAGATTGATTAAAAAATCAGTGCCGCATCCACTATTGTCAGGCATCACGCTCCAAGCGTCAATCACTAGATAGACTGATTATATCATCCAAATAATGCGGATATGTGAAGATCACGGTGGTAACTTGCATCGTCATTGTTCATTATCTTGAACCGTAATTTAAAAAACTGAGTTACTGAGGCGAAGTCAAGTAAATTGTTGGGGCATTTGTAACACTGAAATCAACTGAATACATGTGTAGAAAATATTCTAGTTCCTTACATCCATGTTCTATATTGTCTATCGCTTTCTGCACTATAAAAGGATATATAGAAGGCTTTCGAGTTCAAGTTTTTTCAAATAAAGTCCTATATAACAAGTGAGTTGCACAAAAATCAAGTCACATTCGATCAACTCTTTTCTGCTCACAACATGGATGTAAAAGCAAGAGTAAAATGGCAATGTACATTAGCCATGTATATATGCATTGAAATTTAAATAATGTATTTATACATCGTTAAATAATATATCAGAACAAAAATAATTGAAAAGTAAACCACGATCATACAACTATTCCTGTTGTGAATTCTCTTGTTGCAAACTTTCGATGACTTCAAATTGTAATTAAGTACTAAATAACTGCTGTAACCTTTTTAACATGACTTGTGGCCCTTATTTTTTTCTTCTTACCTAGGGTGACTGAGGACCAAAAAAGTGTGTAGATAATTGTCAGGAATATTAGAAATTGCGCTGTGTGGAGAACAAAAACTACATTTATATGCCACAAAAAATGCAGCCCCCTTTGGTGACATCAGTAACCAAACTGTTTAAGAAATGTTGGCGAGAATCGAACCCACAGAAGAAGTAGATTTATGTGAAAACATAGAGCTCCAAGCATGCTACCTCAACAACACCTTCCATATTTTCCTCATATATACAACCAAAGACCATATGGCAAGCCCTGCTGAAGTATAAAGCAAAACAACACCAGAGCCTACTACAATGGCAGCTCCTCCATGACTGAGAAAAAAAATGGAAAAAGACCCAATCAGTTAATTACAGAGCTTGAACTAGAATTTTGAGGGGACCAAAATGAATGCTTAACAAGTACATTAATTTACAATGACATACAACTTCTAAAATTCATGCCTAAAGAAACTTTTTCGAAATAAATAAGATTCAACATTACATATCTTAAGTTTAGAGTGAGTTATTAACAAAAAGTTAACTAAAAAATAAGCTCATTTAGGATGAGTTTTTCACATGATTTTTCTTTTCATAACAAATAGAATGATAATACCTCCAGTCTCGGGTAGCAAGGAGGATAGTTAATGCTGTCATCTGTGTGGCTGTTTTCCACTTCCCCAAGTTATTTACAGCAACAGCCTATAATTTGAAGTTTCATGATATAAGCTTAAAACTCTGTACAAAATCCAGGCAGCTGATTAAAGTGTACATGAGATCAAACAAACCTCTAAAAGCTTACTGTCTTGGGAAGCAGCCCATTCCCTGACTGCAGACATGGTTATCTGTTCGGCAAGTTACAAGAGAAAATTATAAGACACCTGATTTGAACACTAATACAAAGCCAGTAAATCAGACAAGCTATAATGATTCCTTGAAAGCAAAAAGAAATTCAGGTAAAAATATGGCTAATTTATCATATAAATTAGAATCTCAGTTAAGAACTGCAGATCATCAACCGTGTGAGCAACAAGCACAGTAGATCCCAAATATGATTCTACTTTCACACACACATGATCACGTTATTCATATAATATAAAACATTGGATCTGCATGGTTTTCAGGTACACTGGTTATCTAACCTGGCCAGCTAGCCTTTGCTTTGGTTCATTCTATAATGTGAAAAATATGGTCATTGATAGTTCTGATTCCATGAAAATTACAAGAAACTTAAGTTCCATTGTCTTGGTTCGGTATAATAAGAGCTAATTGTATCACCGAAACACATCTTAAAAACTAATCATCATAGAATAAATAACAGCAGAGATAGGTAAAAGGAATATGTAACAGTTAACTTAAGATGCATGAGTTTGGTGATCACATCACATGCAAGACCCTTGCTAGGTTCCCTATGAACAAAACCTTTTTAAGTAATGCATGCCTTAGGAATCAAAGATGCTAGCAAGACATTAAGTATGCATTACCTCTCTACCAATTATGGCAATAGAAGGTATAGTGAGTAGCCACGGTGCTTGTCCAAATACAGCAACATCCAAAGGTCTAGTACATAACAAGACCAATGTCGCAGCAACCATAAGCTGCATTCGGTAGAAACTAGTTTAAAAAGCACTGAAGTGGTTCTCACATGTCACATGTAGGTGAAAGAAAAAGCAGTTAAGAGGAGGGGAAATACCTTGTCAGCTACTGGATCTAAAAATGCACCAAATGAAGATTTTAACTTCATCTGCATTGCAAATTCACAAAAGAAAAGTAATGAATGTCTTAGAAGGCTTGGTTTTTTGAATTGAGTAGAAGTGAATGAGTGAGTGAGAGTACCTTGCGAGCAATATAGCCATCAAGCCAATCTGTAACTGCAGCAGCGATGAAAATACTTGTAGTAGCAGTTGTTCCTCGCCAACCATCCATATAAAAAGCTACACAAAAATAGCATCACATTACAATGACATGAAATCCATAGTGTTTTGCATAAATATAGAAAAATGAAACGTACTAGCAACAAGAAGCGGCACTGCAGCGACACGGCCTAGAGTCAAAATGGTTGGCAAGGTAAGCAATTTCGAAGGCTCAGGCTCATCAGGCTCTGGTTGTGACTGTGGCTGTGGTTGTGGTGGCACTGGCGAACCCAAATCTGTGACAAGTCCAGCCCTTCTTCCCAAAAAACCTAATTTTTGGGAGGGTTTACGAAACGTGAACCCTGTGAATTTATTTTTAGAGGGTGTGGCGGAAGGGAAGTAGCTGTGGCTGTATTGGTGAATGGTTCTGTTAGGGGTCCATAAGAGGGGTTGGGGTTTGGTTTTAGTGGTGGCAGTGCGGACGTAGATGCAAGCACTCGCGCTTAGTTTCTGGGCTGACATGATCAATCAACGCTAACAAACCAAATGGGATTGGAGACACTACTTTGCTCTTGTTCTACGATAAACTTGGGGTTCGTCAAATTATCAAGTTTTGGGAATGCTTGCTTGGATCACGAAGAGGGAAAATGGGTATCACCCTTTTTCTTATTCTTTTTTCTTTTTTAATTTGCTTATTTTACAAAAATTACTCTTTTTTGTGTATAGGTCAAAAGCTTTGAGGAATCTACAACCACGAATCAGATCTTAAGTCGACATTATTCGGTGATGTTAGTAACACAATTGAAGAGGAGAGAGCTCTGATGATCTTAGCGAGGAAGATTTGGATTCATTGTAGGTGTATTAAAATATAAAATAAAATAAAAAAACTAGTTGTAGGTTCTGGGAGTTCAGGGACCTTATCAACTTTTTCTTTTTTCCTTAAAAATTATATTAACTAACATTTTTTTTTTCCAAATATTAATACATATAAGCCATTAACGGCACAAAACAATAACGATGAATAAATAAAAATAGTTATTTTTATAGTATTATTTTTTGGGAATAATATCTGTCATTTTAAAGGATATAAGTTTATATCATTTTAGATTCTAACCGTGGATTTCCGTCCATCAACGGTTATAATTTATTGAATTAAAATTATTAATTAATTAATAATAAATTTGGCCCATTAAATTTGATCCAATAGATTATAACCGTTGATAGACGAAAATTAACGATTAGAATCTAAAATGATATAAGTTTATATCCTTTAAAATGATAGATGTTTTCCCCTTTTTTTTATGTTATTTTAGAAACTACTCAAACTTAAAAGAAAAATATTTAAACATTTTATATACATAAATAATTTTTCTGCAGTTATTGCAGATAAGTTATCTGCATTTACTCCGAAAATGACGTCGTTTTGGGATTGAAAAATTAAATAATTATACAGAAAAATATTTCTGCAGTTACTGCAGATAAGTTATCTGTATTTACTTCCAAAACGACGTCGTTTTGAGATTGAAATATTAAAAAATTATAATTATAAAGACTATAATAACCCTGAAATAAATTAAAATTACAAAAACATTATGATTTTCGTCTCAAAATGACGTAGTATTAAGCTTACTGCAGATAACTAATCTGTCGTAACTGCAGAAAAAATGAACCCATAATTATAATTATAAAGACTATAATAACCTGAAATAAATTAAAATTACAAAAACACCATGATTTCTGCTCCAAAGATAACTTATCTGCAGTAATTGCAGAAAAAGCGAACCCTTTTATATATATAAAAAAAAAGTCAGAAAACTAATGAGCACATATAAAGGTTTAATGTAATTTACATCGACTCGTTTAAGGGAAAAATGTGTATCATTCTAAAGTTGTAAGGTTGTGTAATTTTAAGTGAAAGAAAGAGATAAATCATGGGAAGAGAGAGTGGACAAAAAAAATTAAAATTGTGAGTCTCACTTCTTTGTAAGAGTAAAATGACACAAATTATATTATTTAAAAGGACAAATAATTTTTCCCCATTTAAACTAGGGTTTGGTGTTTATCATTTTAAATGACATAAGTTATGTCATTTTAGGAGAGAGATAGACACAGAAAAACGGAAATCATGGAGAGAGAAAGTTGGTGGTTTTTTTTAATTTAAAATTTAAATTTTATATGTCTGTATCTCTCTTAAAATGACATAACTTTCTGTCATTTAAAATGACAAACACTTTTCCTTTAATGATATTATTAAATTTTGAAGTTTTGTTTACGGGGAAGGTTATACGTACAACCTATTTTCGTTTACAACTTCTTACAATCATATCTTAACCGTTGATTTCCGTCAATCAATGGTTACGATTTTCGTAAATTAAATTTATTAATTAATTATTAATTCACAATCGTTGATTGACAGAAATCAACGGTTAAGATATAGTTGTAAGAGTTTGTAAACTATTTAAATATAATCCTCTGTTTACTGGTATTATCCCCCCCCAACCAGTGAGATCGGTAGACAACCCGTAAAAGGAAGCCACTAGGCATCAAGCCCTATTATCTTAAACCTAGGGAGGGTGGTTGATTGTGATCTAAGGGTCATCGGAATTGGTGCACTTCGTGTTGTGGATGGATCAGTCTTTGGTGTATCACCAGGAACCAATCCTCAGGCCACCTTAATGATGCTTGGACGTTATGTCTTAGGGAATAAGATAACAAACATGCATTCTTTCAGGATAAGACTTTCAAAGAGAATAACAATTCTATTGTTCTATGCTATGCAAATAGGAAGCTCCCCCGAGCACTAGTTTGTTCATTCATTTAAAAAAAAATATAACAGAATGTATGCTTAGAATGTGTCAGTATAGAATGTGAACAATGATAATTTTAACGGCTCTGATCTAAATCAAATTACTGAAGCAAAGATTCTGCACTGTGTTCTGACTTTTTTTTTGGATTTGTTTATCAAAGTCAACTATTGCTCATAAAGCTATAAACTTCCTTACCACATAATGGCGGGCTATATAATATATATAGTTATTTGATAATTTCCTCAAGCAATAGGGTTTTACCAGTCCCAGCAGAGCCTGTGATGAACACGGATTTGCCCTGAGGGAAAATATGCTTCTGCTCGTTTCCCCATTCTATTGGAGTGGAGTGAAGGTTAGCCCAATGTTAGCATTCAGATCTATTTTCAGCCCTGGCCCGGAAATGCCACCTTTTCTTGGCTTTCCAAACAAAGCCCATCGAAGTCCAGTCCATCTAATTCCTTTTTTTCCCATTCCAGGACGGCCCATATTTGAATAATATAAATCTTTCGTTCTGCTGTCAAAAGTAGGGGAAAGTGTCTGATCCTTTCAATCAAGCGATAGAGGCAGAGGCTTTACTTCAATCGCCTACGCTAGGACGGAGCTGCTGTCGAGTGACGATTGGCCGAGGGGAGTTCCATAATGTAGCTGGGTACAAATAAGCCAGTAAAAGACAAGTAGAAGCCAGTGAAAGAGGAGTAGTCAGGGTACGACGAAGCACGCCTGGTACGTAAGCGAATACGGATCACGTGGGTTTGTACTGATCCGCTTTCGAGCTGTCGAGTGAGGATTGCTCCATCTATTAAGAAAGGACTTTTCGGTCCTCTCCTTACAGTCGAGTTACTACGTTCCTTGTTTATTTATAAAGGGAGTACTCTCTTCTCTGATGTGCGTTCTATTATTGCCTCCTATTCCTAAGGGAGTGATCGGGATTAAGCCGCGTGGCGATACCCGCGAAAAACTAAGGATTTTTTTTTTTTGCTGCCATGGACCCCCGCGCCTATAAATAGGACGCTTCTTTCTCTATTTGGCAAAGCAAAGGGAGATGGATCCAGCTACCGCTGAAAGACTTTCTCAAATTGATCAAGAAATTCAAAACATCGATACCGAGAAGGCCCAACGGCAGGAAACCCTGGCTGCCTTTTGGGAGCACCTGCCTCCCATCGATCCTGCGGTTGTGGCTGCAGCCATGCACCAGATCCTGGACCGCATTCGCGGTCTGGAAGACAGGAGGAGGGCCCTCCTCCAAGAACAGCGAGATCTCATTGTGAGGGGGGCCTTCAGCAGCCGCGGGGGAAACTAGAAGAGAAGAGTCCTTAACTTAATATGTTGTTTGTTTGTTCACTTTTTGTTGTAATGTTGTGTTTAGTTGTGTGGCTGGTCTATGTGTGTGTAAGCTTCCCATTGGATGTACTCCCATGTAAAAAAATGCTTGCTGGAATGAAAAAAATCTGCTTTGTTCTAGTTCATTCTCTTTCCCTGTTTTGTGCAGAAAAATTTCTGATTTGAATTCTTTTTGAAATATCCTTTTTTTCTTATTCATTTCTCACATATACAAGCTAAAACTACAGCCAACAGGGTGGACGTTGTGTGTTTACAGTATAAATCCTCTAATAGCATAGCAGATAGCTTCCATGCCTCGCTATCCTATCTTTAAAACCGCCACTACGGTGTCGTTAAAGCGCAGTAACGTTAACAAGATACCCGATACTAACCTAACGATTTCAAGTAGCCGTAGAATAGAACGAAGATCGTAGAGCACTGAAGGCTACGCTTGCTCGAACATCCAACTCAAAACCCGCCCGCTTGCTTGCGAACAAGAACTACCAGTTTACAGACCAGTTTCGGCTAAAGCCCCCTATCTTGAATTCCAGTTCCCTACTGAACAACTAAAACAAACAACTACTGACCCGAAACGGAGGCCTTGCTTTCGGGCGAAGTGCTTCTTGGCAAAGGAAAGAGAGTTAAGATGAGTTGAGTCCTTACTCCTGAAATAAGGAAATACAGACAAGGAAAGGGGAAGAGGACTACCACCAAAAAGAGATCTTCGAATTCTCTTCCTAAACTTTCAGATTGAAAGGAGAGTTGCGGTTATAGTTTCTAGGTGGAATGGCTAGTTCCTATTCCTAAGTAGAAGAAGGAGAGGTGATAGCTGTAACTTGATTTCCTTGATTTCATGGTGTCGTGCTATCAAAGACTTTATTGAAGACCTTAAAGAAAGATGGAAAAGACAAGAAAGAAAAGCAAGACCGGTCCCCTCTGACTCTTTAGTGAAAGCTATTCCCTTGTGAATCTTAGTGATTTTGAATCAAAGAAAAAGTAAAGCTCTTCTAACAGCTATTCCTAAAAGCTCTTTTGAATCCTCATCCTCCCCTGAAGGGTAGTTTGTGCCCGGGCGTGCAAACGTAATAAAAGTCTCATCTAATAATAGATGTTATCTCACAGTTTGTTAGGCCTCCTATTCTACTATAGGCTTCCTCTTTTAGTTAGTTATAGGTAACTTAAAGGGAAGTAAAGAAAAGAAAGAAGAGAAGGATTACTGGCCTACAGCTGCCTTACCACTAGCTTCACACTAGCAGCACAAGCTTACCTTTCTCTTCCTTTCCTCAAGAGCTTCTTCGTTCAATAGCTTAGCTTAGCATCTTCTATCCTTCCTTCTAAAAAAATGGACGAACCCACGTATCAAGAGCAGTTTCAAACCATTCACTTTTGTCTCTTTTTTCTTGTAGGTCCCCCAAAATAGCATTCAAAGTCGATGGATCTGATGATTCCCCGTGCACCGACTGGCCCAATACATGGTCCTTGTCCTCATACAATTCTATCCCTTTCTCCCTAGAAATGTAAGCTACCTCACATTCTATTCTTTTTTTTTTTGAGTTTACACTACTTCCATCTCTGTGTTTGGAGAAAGAACGGAATTCAAAATATCAGACATTTCTGATCGGACTCTGAGGATGAAGGAACATCCCCACTATGATGCGAAGGCCCCTCCTTCTCCTTAACCCGGGGTGGAGAGAAAGTTGGAAAATGGAGGTCCAAAACATAAGTGGTTTTTCTTCCTCCTCCATCCACGGCGCCCTGATAAGTTGATTCTTTTCTAGGACTAGGTAGAAGTAGAAGCTGAATTAGGAACTATTTCTCTCGTTCTTTCGTAAATAGATCTGATGGAATCTAGTTTCCTTTTGGCCATTTTCCCTCTGACAAAAAAAAAGATATCGATTACGACCAGCGCGGTTGTTCGTATTTCATTTTCTTATTCTTTAGAAAGCATGCACTGACTTACTTACGGAATCTAAAATCTCTCGACGCGGAGACTTTTTTTCCAGGTCGATCAGAGATTTGGCTTGCATGTGTTCAGCATATAGCTTAAGTAGCATGATTGGAGCTTCTTAGCGCTTAGGCTACTACCTTCAACCTCCTATTACTTAGATGGAGGAGATAGTAAGCAATACTGTCTATGCTACGATCTTGCTTCTTTCGCCAATCTACCGTTATTACTGCAGTTACCGATTCCTAGGAAAAAATCGATATTACCGACATTACGGATATTCCCTACCCGAGGCATTCGAATGGGCCACTCCTATCATTCCTTGGCATTGCAGCTCCTCAATTAAGTTAGTTAGCAGCTTCGCTAGTGGAGAGAATCCCCGATTTCAAGACTCCTTGCCGAGCCTTAGCTGACGATCTCGCTCCTTGTCCGAGTACTTCGACTACAGGGGGGAGGGAAGCTTCGTAGACAGCTTCGCGTCCTCGCCGCTTCTTTCTGGCGACTAGCTTCTCAAGTGGGTGGCTTGGTAAGCAAGCAACCTTCAGCATCGGTAAAATCCCTATCAATAATAGGCCGGAATGGTGGGGAAGGAGGCCCCCCCTACTTCAATGGAAAGGGGGGAATCGCCGTTTCACAGCCGCTCCTCTACAACTAACTACCTTTCGCCCAACATGATCACGAACGAAGACAGAGAATTGCGTAGATAGAAGGACGAAACCAACCAACCCACTTGTCCTGATCGGAACGATTGAAGAAAGAAAGAGAATGGTGGCCCCTTTCGCCCAGGGGGCATCGTCGGAGAACAATGTCGGGGACAGGGTGAGAACCTTCCGTTGGTTACGCCCTTTAAGTGTTGGTTCTTTCTTAGATATGGAGATAGATCCAGATAGAGATCTATATCTTTCTATCTATCGATAGATAGAAAGATATATTGAGAAATGGATATGGATCTGGTTTCAAGATCTATGAACAAGAGAGATCCCTAAATATCCATTTGATAAAAGAGATGAATAGATAGGGCGGAGCCGGCTGAAGGAAGGGCGCGCGCCCCTGCAATCTTTCTAAAGCAAGAAGCGAGAAACTTGACTTTGAGAAAGTTAACTCCTCTCCCGTTGGTCGAGCGTCTTCAAACCTTAGCACAAGCACTAAGTAAGAAACCTACCTTTTGACAACCTTACTAATAGAAAGGGGAAAGCTCAAGCATGCGAAGAAAGCTCGAAGAGCTTCCCTTATATATATTCTAGAAAGGTTTGTAGAAAGGGGCTTCTTCTAATATCCCAACAATCAAGAAAGTAGGGGCTTCAAAGCTAGCTTGTAGTTTAGGGGTGCTAAGGTTTGGAACCCTATACAAGAGGCTAGCGTGCAATGGCTTTCTCTGATGGGGGCTCGCTTCAAAAAGCGGAGCTTGCTTTCTACTAAACGAGCCTTCCTTGATCAGAGAAATCCGCCCGGCCCCTATCTTTAATCTTAAGTAAAGTGAAGTCAAATCAATGAAGTGAACAGCCCAACCTCTTTGTTTGAAGCTTTGCTTCCCCTAATTCCAAAAAACAAGAAATAGACTTGCTACTACTATAGTTATCGTATAGGAAAAAGCTTCTCTTTGATAGCGGTCATAGGGGGGTTCAGAAAGAATCTGATCGTAGATAGAGACTAAAACCTGTGCGGGGGTAGGGGCGGATGTAGCCAAGTGGATCAAGGCAGTGGATTGTGAATCCACCACGCGCGGGTTCAATCCCCGTCGTTCGCCCATCAATAAATGGACCATTTGTTACGGAGACACAAGACAAACCTAGAAAGCATTTTTTCTTCAAGTCATCTCGAGGCTTTCAAACGCATCCAAGCAATTGGTACCCGATTGAAACATAGAAACCATAGATTCGCGTCGCCTACTTGCTGAAAGCACAAATGGAATGGCTGATCATTCATTGTATGAAGTTTTTAAGACCTCCTTACACTTTTTTTGTAGTTCATAATGAATGAAATGAACCCCCGGATGAAGAGACATTCTCCCCTCCCTATTACTAAACCATGGGGAGCCCCGACTAGTTTACCGGGCAAATTTAGTTGTCGTGACGATACCTTTCTTAGTGGAAGATAGGAAAAGACTTCTCTTCATCACGAGACTGATCGGATCCGCCGTAGACACCCGAGAGACCTCCACAAGGCAGGCTAAAAGAGTCAGAGGACAACAAGCAAAGAGTTACGCTTTCTTTTCTCTTCCCTTGAACTTGAACCTGGTATTCCCGCAAAAAACGAATTGAACCGGGTCTGGCTGAGCCCTTCTGTCCATCCATACAAAGAACCGATTCTTGTGCAAAGCGGTGTCGACTCTTTAACGACATCGTCCGCAAATCGAGATCTATTGGAGAGAGTCATCGAATCGTCCGTCCTTGATTCCTCGATTTCATTTCGCTAATCGTTTGGTAAAGGCTAGGAAAAAGCCCGTCATGAAATTCCTTGTCAGGAAGGGTTAGCCCCAAGCCAGCCTTATCTTCTCTTGGATATCCAAAAAGGCAACATTAAAGCGGTTTAACGAGAGGTTGCTTTCCTTGGTTGGTCTTATAGTTCGTGACCTATAGCCGGCAGATAGGGGCGGAGTTTGCTTGCTCTTCACTCAGGGGCTGCTCCTAAACATGCTCTTCTTCTTTCCTTGGGAATAGTCTCAATTTGGAAACCAAACTAACAGATTTAGCGCTAGATGTAGTAAAAGAAAGAATGGTGAACCAACTAGAAATTCTTTTTAGAGTATATAGGGATACTACAGGAGATGTGAACTTACCAACAGGAGTCAATCTCCAAGAGGTAGCCGAGCGTCTTTTTTTTATCGACGGTAGCATTCAATGGCTAAACCAGATCTATTTAGACCTCGTCAATCAGGGCACGCAAAGTCCCCACTTTGCCCACGCTCTGGATTATGTTCTGCTTTAGTTCAAATCATTTCCATTCTGCGGCATTCTCCCTGACCTCGAGGTCAAATGAATGGAATGAAAATGATGGAATTCTCTTTAAGAGCTGCGGAACTAACAACTCTATTAGAAAGTAGAATTACCAAACGATGGGGTACAGTTTTGTGTCGGTATCCAACTTATCACAATGTAATTGGCGGAATACATGAATGAATCACACCACATTTCGGGCAAAAAAAAAACCCCACAAATAACATAGCAATATTATATATTAGAGTAAAAAAATTATTAAAATATAAGCCCTACTTGATAATTAAATAAACTGAAAAAATAAAGAGTATTATTGAAGGGGTCAAGAACTCAAAAGGCATCATGCCATGTATGTAGAGGAAGAAGAAAAGTGAAAATTGAGGAACGAAAACTTTTTAGCTTTTGGAAATCTGTGAAGTTATGAATGAGTGAGTGTATAACGCAGCACATGTAATAATAACGTGACGCTATTCTCGCTTTCATCGCGCTTAGTGTGCATGTGCTGAGTGAGTCTCATCTCAACTCATTCTTTCTCTCTCTCTCTCTCTCTTACTCTAATCCTCTTTTGTATTTAGTAGCTACTATTTTGTGAAAACGCACAAAACCAAAGACGTCGACGTAGGCATTCAGTTGCAGAAAATCAAGGCGAAGCCGAAGGTGAAGAAGATCTTGTAATTCCGAACCCTATTCCTCGCTTCACCGATCATTTGGATCCATTCTATAAATGAAGGCTAACAAAGCCATAAACCCTCTCATCACCTTCGAGCATAAGAGGTATCTCACTCCACGCGTTTCTCACCCCCTTCACTTTCGCTGTTTGCTAGATCCGTCAAATTCCACTTCATCATCGTCTTAGATTTGAATTTTCCCTTTTTATTTTTTAAAAAAAATAAAAAGAATAAAGTTGTTTGGGTTTTAGTTTATTTACTCTGCAATTCACTTGGACCACTGCGCTGTGCAACTTCCGGTTTTTTTTTTTTTGGTTTTCTTATTTATCGAATTACCGGGTTTTGAAGATCGATCTTGCTCAATTGAGTTTGAGTTGGCGCCAAATGTGTCGTTTCTTTCTTCATTTCATTTTCTTACTTAGTAATGATTTTTTGGGGTTGCGCTGAGGCAATGCTGAGCGCTATAAGAAGTGGGGTGTGGGTTTTTTGTTCGTAATGTAACGTCGTATTTGCTTTGAGGCTAACGACTGGTAATTTGAGTTGGGTTTTTTTTTATTGAAATCGTTGTTTCGTGTCTTGATTATTGTTGAAATGTAATTAATTATTTTGGGTTCTGGCTTTTCCTGTGTTAAACTGTCTCTGCTAATTGTGGTGTTTTATTTGTTTATAATTGAATTTTTGGAAATTAATGCGTATTTGGTGTAAACAGGGATGCCTATGGGTTTACCGTGCGACCTCAACACTTGCAAAGATACCGTGAATATGCTAACATATACAAGGTCTTGTCTCGGTTTGGGTTTATATTTCCGGCCTTTCCAGTTTTAAGTTTTGTTGCTGGCTATTTTTTTTAAGGAAGGATTAGGAGAATAATGTGAAGGAAATTTCACTTAATGTTAAGTCGAAAATATTACCAGAACAGATTTAGATATATGCATTACATGGTGCAAATTGTTTTTCTTTTTTTCCTCAAAGCGAAAAGAAGATAATTTTCTGACCTGGCTGTTGTTCTCAGTGTAACACTTGTCAATTGTGATTTCAGGAGGAAGAAGAGGAGAGGTCAGACCGATGGAAGTCGTTTCTAGATCGGCAGGCAGAATCTTCTGAATTAGCCACAAACAGATTAGCTGTGGAGCAAGATGAGAAAGTTTTGGATGATGAAGCTGCACAGCAAGAAGCTGATGCTTGCTCGGAGAAGAGTGTTGATGTAAATGAAGCAAGCAACGAAAAGCCTGGTTCTGACACTACAGCTGAAAATGGTAATCAAAAGGAGGAGGTACCAGCATCTGAGGAGACTAAAATTCATAGAGTCCAGTTATGGACAGAGATAAGACCATCTCTCCGTACTATTGAGGATATGATGAGCGTTCGCGTAAAGAAGAAAACTGGATTGGTAAAAGATGAAAGAAACAAGAAAAATGTGTTAAAAGATGAACAAATCATTGAAACTGCAAAATCATCATCTCACTCTGATGATACTAAATCACTAAAAGGAGCATGTGAGGAAGACTCTGATGAGGAGTTCTACGATGTTGAGAGGTCGGATCCTAGTTCAGATATGCCTCCTGTTGATGGTGTGAGTGCTTCTGCAAACGGTATTGCTGCTGATGATGCACCACTAGAGGCTTTGTTTCCTTGGAAAGAAGAGTTGGAAGTTCTTGTTCGCGGGGGAGTGCCAATGGCGCTGAGGGGAGAGGTACTTATTAAATACCTGAGATATACATTTCTTCTGATGTTTATTTATTTATTTTTGTGAGTTAACCTCTCCTCTTGTTTGTTCTTGTGCTTCAGCTTTGGCAAGCATTTGTGGGTGTAAAAGCAAGGCGAGTGGATAAGTATTATCAGGATCTGCTAGCCTCAGAGAGTGATTCTGAAATTAAAACTTATCAGCAAAGCATGCACTCAGCTGATAATAATGGGAAAACAAGTGCAGATTGTGTACGTGTGCCCGAAAAATGGAAAGGACAGATTGAGAAGGTCTTTGCCAGTGATATTTCACCTTCATTGTTCTTAATTCTGTGATATTATCTTTATGTTCCTAGAAAATAAGTTTCTTGATTAAAAGTTGAAAATTGTTACATTTTTGTGCAGGATCTGCCTCGAACATTTCCTGGTCATCCTGCACTAGACGAGAATGGTAGAAATGCTTTGAGACGACTACTTACTGCATATGCTCGACATAATCCCTCAGTTGGTTACTGCCAGGTCTTTTGCTTCTGAAAAGAGTTGCATTTTTTTTCCTTTTTTCTATAGAAAAGGTTTTTCCTATTATTATTCAATATGGTTGTGATGGATTTTTTTTTTTAAAAACCTAACTGTCAAACAGTCTGATGAGATATTTGTATGAAACATATATACACATAAGTGAGCTGACCAGACTTAGAAAAATTGGTTCACACGGAACTTGAAAGTTAATCAGATATCTCGGTGCAACAACAAATCAACAATCACTGGAATTTATGTTGCCTATATTACACTAGTTGTTGTTGTCCATTTTTTTTTTCCAATTAATTGGTGGCTTGAATTTCATGGCCTTCAAATGATAAGTCAAGGAATCCAATGGCAATTGATAAGAATAGTTTGAAAAACCTTGTGAAGCTAAATTTGCCACCGATTTACCATTTACTAATCTCTGTTGTAACATAACCATCAATTCTAGAAAATGAAAGGAAGTTTTGGCTAATTATGTAGTCAATTGTGTTGAAATTCTAAGTTAATCAGAAGTATTGGGATCTACTTTGAGACAAACCTCAATCAGGCAAGCACTTTTTAGAGGTAGCATGCCTGACTGAAGGTGCAGAGGGCCCTAATGCCTTGCAAGCACCTTTCATATTTGTGATGTGTATGATTCATGACTATTAGTGATCTGTCGTATAACATGGACATAAAAATAATTTTAACCAGAATATATTATATGCTTTCTCACACAGACATATCATGTATGTTCACAACATCTATAACCCACTGACTGAGCTTGTTGGAATAATATACATTCTGCAGGCCATGAATTTTTTTGCTGGCTTATTACTGCTTTTGATGCCGGAAGAAAATGCCTTTTGGTAGGTCCTGAGATAACTGCTTGAGTAAATTTCTAGAGTATATAGTCAACATGTACAGTTTTCAAAGTATACACTAAAGATAGAGCATCATCAATTCGTCATTATAAATTTATAACTGTTTCGAGCACTGTTATCATGAAGGAATGCCTGACTGATTACTTCATGCTTATGCTGCATCTTTAGCAGCTTTATATTGCTAATTTGAACTAATTTATATGTTTTGTCACTAACTACGGTTTTTCCCAGGACCTTAATGGGCATTTTGGATGATTATTTTGATGGCTATTATTCAGAACAAATGATAGAGTCTCAGGTGTTGTTTCTTATATTTTATATTCTTGAGTAAATTTAGTAATGCACTTGAATAACTGTTGTTAGACTTTTTTTACACATATTCAAATACATTTTCATTTTATCAGGTGGATCAACTTGTTTTTGATGAGTTGGTGCGGGAGAGGTTTCCCAAATTGGGTTTGTAAACTGTTCTTTTTCATTTTCATGTCTTTGATCTCACGAAGTGAATTTTGTTTTTTATGGTTCCATTCTTAATTTTTAATTTCTCAGGTGTATTTCTTGTGCAGCCAATCATCTAGATTATCTGGGAGTGCAGGCAGCATGGGTTACTGGACCATGGTTCCTTTCCATTTTTGTGAACATGCTTCCTTGGGAAAGTGGTCAGGTTTTATGTTTTATCTATTGAGTAGTATAGCTTAGTCTTATTTCACGAAGTAGCCAATGTCAAATGAGTATTTGTACTCTATAGTCTGAGCTTCCTTCTTATCTATTGTAATTATTTGGACTTCAGTTCTTCGAGTGTGGGATGTGCTTCTTTTTGAAGGAAACCGAGTCATGCTATTTAGAACTGCAGTTGCTTTGATGGAGCTATATGGTACTGGCTGAGATATTTGTTGTTTCAAACTGTACTGTATTCTTGGAAAAAGTAAACTAGTAATGCTTAAGGCATTCATATCTTCATGAGACTTAATTTCACTGTTTATTGTAGGTCCAGCATTGGTAACAACTAAGGATGCTGGAGATGCAGTTACTTTACTGCAATCGTTGGCTGGCTCCACATTTGATAGTAGTCAGCTTGTATTGACAGCTTGCATGGGTTACCAAAATATAAATGAAATTCGATTGCAGCAGCTGAGGAATAAACATCGGCCAGCTGTAATAGCTGCAGTTGAAGAAAGATCAAAAGGGCTTAAAGCTTGGAGGGATTCTCAGGGTCTGGCATCAAAGTTTTTTGGTTTTAAACATGATCCTAAATCGGAGCAATCGGCTGATATGCAAATGATTGGGGATTTATCTCGTTCAGAATCAGGTTCCACTAACGCAGATGAAATTCTGATTAGTCTGACTGGAGAGGTTGAGATAGATTCTGCTCCAGATCTTCAAGAGCAGGTCGTTTTTGTCATTCCTGTTAACCTCTCCCTTCCCCTGCCCCTTTCTTTTTATTAGATCATAATATGGTGCATTTTATTGTTATCTTTAGCATATATAACATTCTGAAATTACTAGGACAAAAGTTAAAAAAACACCCTGTTTATAAAGTGATAATAAGTTTTGGGGACCCACTAATGATTGCATTTATCTTAGATGAATTGTTAACGACAAGTTTAGTTAAATTTAGTTCAAGTGCAGTTAACAGGTTTTGAGGATAATTATTGTCCTCAACTTGTTCTTATGCTCAATTTTTTAGCTTTGTGACCATTTGCAAATTTTCCATTACAGTTATGCTTTTGGTACCTATTATTAATTCTAAGCCTATACATCTTATCAGAGATGGGCAGTGTTCTGGTACATCATTGTTGAAGCTACATAATTTGTAATATCTTAGGATATTGTGTTCCAATCTGAAATAGAAGTGGATTCTGATTTTGTACTTTGTTACAACCTGTTGAGTTATTTAATTATCGTCGTATCCCTTTTCTTTTGAAATCTGATTTGAGAAGAACTGTGCATTTAATATATGCTGGAAAACTAGGACAATGTGAAGGTGATAATTGTTTGACGTACATATCTATTTTTTTTTACCTTACTATCAAGAAAAAGGGTTGGATATTTAACTTTTATATCAAGGAATGCTCATCTATCCTGTCCCCCCACAATAAAAGAAAAAGAAAAATTCATTGCTGGAAGTCTAACCTTCAGAGTCATCAATCTAGGGTAAAATAGAGTAACTAATCACAACATAGCATTAATCTTATGTTATGTGAACCGCATGCAGGTTGTCTGGCTGAAGGTTGAACTTTGTAGATTACTAGAGGAGAAAAGATCAGCTATTCTCAGGTACTTAAAAATGATATTATAATGTAAATATGGACTTGAATACTTCTATCAATATTGTTATATACTGATGGCTTGGCGTCTGGACAATAGAATAATGAGTGCACAAATCTTAAAAGTCCTATAGTCTTATCTGGTTTAACACAAATGTTGATTTAGCGGGTATTGGGAGAAGTTAAAATCAGGTATTTAGAGTGTTACAAATTATTGCAAGTGATTTTTTTTATTCAAAGAACATACCGGCATGGCTATTAATGTAGGATTCTTGTTTCCTTATGGGATTTTTATTGGAAAGTCCAGCCAATAAACCACTTGAGTGATTAACCCACTTATAAAATGGTTAATGATTAAATACTTGGTGAAAGGGTTAATGTGGTTTGATAAGCAACCATTTCACATAACAGGTTAAGCTTAGAAGTGAAAACCCATCAATGTTTTTTTTATTTCTCTAACACACCACTCACGTAAGAGCCTTTTGGATTTGAAGTGTGGATATTGCACTGAATTTACCTTTTCCTGACTTAATTCCACTAGAAAGTTGGGGGGGGGGGGGGGGGAGGATAGAATTCATCATGGTCACTTTGGCTCTGATATTATGATCAGCAACTATTTCACCTAAAGTTTAAGCTAAGAAGTGAAAACCCATCAATTTTTTTTATATTTCTCTAACATGGTTAATAGGTTCTCCTTTATAAATAAGACCATCCACTAATCCTTAATAGTTATTCTCCTCTTTTTCCCACTTCAACTACTCAAGGTTTTTTATTTATTCATTTATTGTTTTTTGAAGTGTCCCATGAAAGTTCAGAGATTCACCTTTTGCGTATAGCATTAATACCTTCCAATTTCTTCCCTTTTTTCAGAGCGGAGGAGCTGGAGACAGCTTTAATGGAGATGGTCAAGCAGGATAATAGGAGGCAACTGAGTGCCAAGGTAAGTCATGATTGTACATGGGATTTTTGCTTCGTATGTCATGATATGTCCTTTGCAATGTGTATCTTCTATATCTGTTGGCTTTCTCATCATGCTGTGATTGCTAAAGTAGTTTCTATAAGGCAACATTTTACTCTCTTTTTTGTTTTTAAATATTATCTATCGGTTCATTGATTACTCGACTAATTCGATTCGAGACGGGTAGGATCACATAGGCGGCAAAGCTCTCTCTACCAAGTTTTAACACAGTTGTATTCCCAGGGACTCGAACTTGAGACCACTGGTTAATCTAGAACAATCCCTTATCAATTGATCCACATGTTTGGTGGTGACAACATTTTACTTTTGATGTTCTTGAAAATGGATTATGCGTACACATAGTTCAAGCCAAATTGGTAACTTTTCAAAGTGAGATATTACACAGAGCACATGTCTTTACAGTGTAATAAGAGGCAATACTTGTGCTTTGGTTAAAGCAATGATTCAATTAATAAGTACTGATGGCATGCTAGTGATATCTTATGTTATTAAGTTCAAAATTGAGAGAGGGAAAACTTCCTTCCCACTTTCCACTAAGGTTGTTCTTGGTTTTAACCAGAATTGTAAAATTCCTTTTTCATGTAATAATTAAAATTTAATCTAGAAATAGGCTTGCCCTGCCCGTAATTTGCTCTTGTTGGCAACTTATGAGCAATCCTCTCTTCTACCTATTTAATTGTGCCTTATCAAAGAGTTGAATTGGTGACTTCTTGCTTCTTCAAATAGATTGTGGTGGGCCATTATTTAGCCTCTTCCCCACTTAAAATATTAGGGGGGAAAAAAATTGTTTCTGATGGGAATTTCAAATAGGCTTAATCTCATTTGCATACACTACCAAGTACCAACCAGCATTTGAATTATTAAAGTCATGCTCCAAACCAAACTAAAGTACAAAACACCAACTATTATACTATACTAACTAATATGGCTCATGTGAGCCTTAGTTAAAATAATTTAATTTTAACTTTCTAAATAATAATAGCACCATTCCACCAAAATATTAAGAAATCCTCATTTAACAAACCCGAGACATTTAAATTTAAATTACCCTTCGCTAGAGTATTTTGGGAAACACATCCTTATGCCCAATGATAACCAGTTGAGTACTCCTAAAGTCCTAATGCAAAAACATATTTTACCCTTTGAGCTAGCTTTTGGGGTGATGTATCTCAAGGTTCTTTACACATTTAAATTTAAATTACCCTTCGCTGGAGTATTTTGGGAAACACATCTCAATTTTTTTTATCATTGGAAATGCATTTCTATTATCCTTGCCATGTTTAAAACAGATTTTATTTAGTGTAGACTTCATAATTTGTCAGATTTTGCATAGGCGCTGATTTCTAGGCCTGTGGTTGAGGCAATATAGTCATTAATGATTGTCATGTATGATGCAAGGATATGCCAATATTGGTTGTGTATCCGTGTCGTATTCATATCTAATATGGATACTCATGTATCTGCTAAATCCATTTTCTGGTCTATTGCCCACCGCCTTCAAAACTCTCTACTTGAAAAACCCAGGATACATATAAAGTCCATAATACCAGCAATTTTTGAAGTTGGCTGTAATGCTTATATAATTGTTGAGATATATAAAACCATTTATGTAGCCTCACCCAACAGCTTAAGCTTTTGGGTTGAATTGGTTCTTTACATGGTATCAGAGCCTCGTGTCCCGGGTTCGAATTTCGTCGCCTCCCACTTTCTTTCTAGTGGAATTTCTTTCTTCGCACAGGTAGGTGGGCCTGTGCATTGTCCACCCTTCAAGCCCAGTGGGCTCTCGTGTGAGGGGGCGTGTTGAGATATATAAAACCATTAATGTAGCCTCACCCAACAGCTTAAGCTTTTAGGTTGAATTGGTTCTTTACAATAATCAAATAAGTATTTATGTGAATTTAGTTAGTTAGATGTGTTGTAGTCTGAGTTCTAATTTGTTCTTTGAGAAGTTAATATGTGTAATTCTTATCATCTTCAGGTAGAGCAACTAGATGAAGAGGTTACTCAGCTTCGACAAGCACTTGCCGATAAGCAAGAACAGGAAACTGTCATGCTTCAGGTTTCCTTTTTTTCTTGGTGTTTTATTTTCTTTCTTGCGGTAAAATAGGCTTTCTCTTGTCATGTAGATTTTTTGCTGATAGGTCTTGATGAGGGTAGAGCAAGAGCAAAAAGTGACAGAGGATGCTCGCAGGTTTGCTGAGCAAGATGCAGCTGCACAAAGATATGCTGCCCAAGTGCTTCAGGTTACCTTTTTCCGTTCTTCATCTTTTATTACCCTTGGATTCTATCAATATGTACCACAAATACAAGCAAATTATATTGAAAGTTGGAAAGTTATTAATCTTGATATATTGGCTCTTTTCAGGTTGTAGCAAATCAGCCTTTAATCAATTGTTTGGTTAATTACTTGGATTTTTTTTATTTTTTTTTCATTTTGTGCCATTTAACTTTCTATTATTTAATTATGGTATTCTTTAGAAATGGCTTAGAGTTTTACTTGTTCCTATGATCCTGCCCAACTTCTTTCTGCCAGATTTCAGAAAGCTATTAAGACATGTCCTCCATCATGTGATCTCGTAGCATCATTGCATTTCAGAAAGCTGTTCCTGAATTTTTGGCGTCATTGTATTATAGTGGTTGATGATATCTTTGTAGCATCTTTACCAAGATATATCAATTTCATAATTATTCTGTCATAGACTATAGGCTCGGATGCCTCCATTTGGAAGCAAACACTTTAACGCTTAAGCTTCAGTGGAAATCTAACTGATTAACTTAACATTTTAGCCAAATTGATGTCATTTTTGTGATTATAATTTGAACGCCTGATAATTATGAATTATGTTTGTTTCAGAGTTTATTTTATTTTTTTTGGATGTTGGTGAATGCCTAATACTTTAACATATATAATTAGCATTCTTTTATGCAGATAAGTTGCATCTACTCGCGTTTTTTTTTGCTTGGACTAATATTTATAAATCTCTATATTTATCCATCTTATGCAAAGTCCATGTTAATGCTTCCTTATACTGCTAAATTACATTTTGACTGGCACAATGTTGAATTTTTAGACTGCAACATCTTACAATCATGCATATTACGTATTCTTTGGCAGGAAAAGTATGAAGAAGCAACTATGGCACTTGCTGAAATGGAGAAGAGAGCAGTTATGGCAGAATCTATGCTGGAGGCTACGTTGCAGTATCAGTCTGGGCAAGTTAAAGTGCTACAATCTCCACGGTGTGTTGAACAGTTTAAGTTTGTGAAATATTTGAGTCTTTACAATATATGCACCCACAATTTTTTGTATGGTTTTGGATTTTTCTTTTCAAAATTTTGTAATTAACTTCCGTTGTGATTTGGACATACTATCAACATTTAACATCTCGTGGGGAGCCCTTAAAGCACCAATTTAGTGATCGGGCCTCACCAAAACCTAAAATTAAAAAAATAAAAATTCAGCATCTTCCTTGTCTATTGAAGAAAATGCCAAAAGGTGCAGCTTTAAATATTGGAATAGAAATGAGAATAACTGCGTTATGTTGTTTATGCACATAGCCCTCTATGGATGAGTTGGACTTTAAATTCTTGCTTTATAGATCTTCACATCCAGAGTCTCCAGTATCGAGAAACAATCAAGAGCCTACGACAGATCTCCCTAATAAGAGGATAGGTTTGCTTTCTCGTCCATTTGGAATTGGATGGCGTGATCGAAACAAGGTTAGTTTAAACAGCCATTGCGGAAGATTCAATGTTTTATCAATACACTTACATGCTTACTTTATTGTGGTTGATAACCTGAATTTGTTAATTGGATAGGGGAAATCCACTAATGTGGAAGAGCCAGCAGAGGGAAAGCTCATCGTTGAGGGACAAAGTACAATCAGCCAACAAGAGGGTAATGAACTTAAACTACAGGATGAGTAGGAAAGAAGATAGCACCGAGATTTTCTTTATGTCCTTCCCAAGACGGTTTGAGGAGCAAGAAGTTCGTTCCTTCTTCCTAGTCTTTAATTTTTGTTTAGGGTGAACATATAATTTCCTATTCATTAATTGTTTGTTCTTTATGACGTAATAGAATAATAGTAATTGGAAAGAAAGCCTACGGTGGAAGTCAATTGTAATACATCTTGGCTTATTCTTTACTAGAAATTTTTTGTGTCCGTGCGAACCGTATAAAGTCCAAGGTGGTGTTTGTTTACAGAATCATATTCAGAGGAGAATTACAAAAAAGGGCAGAGATGAAAAAGTTTTAAGTAAACCTCAGTCTTGTTTGGAATTATCTTAAAATGAAAAGAAACAAAAAGAAGAATTATTATGCACCTTATCTTTTTATATATCAAATCAAAATTTGATTTTTTAAAAGTGATTAAGTCTTATTCACCAAAAAAAAAATGATTTAAGTCTCTTAATGCATATATATTTTTTAAATAAGAAAGGACAGGGATGAAATGGAACATTATTCTCATTTCTCTTGTTTGACTTTTGTCATCAACCTGTTATTTGCTTTCACTTTAAGTTGACAAGGGAGACTTCTGGCTCGCAGGTGACTATGAAAATGTGGATAAATCGAATTGAACTGAATTTGATTTGAATCACTTCAATTTGAAGCTGGTTCGAATCAAACCTATTCTATCACTTTTCGTTAAATTCAACTAATAAGTATGGGATGAAGGTAATTTTTGTATAATCTTACCCTTGCATAATTACAAAGAGACTGTTTCCTGGATTCGAATTCATGACCTTTTGGTCATGAAAGAACAGTTTTACTATGCTCCGGTTCGCTCCCTTTGAATCGAACCTATTCTAAAAAAATAAAAATTAAAAATTAAGGAAATAAAATAATAAAATGGCTCAATTCAATTTAAAATTAGTTTGGTTCGACTTTTGAATTGATTTAATTCAATTTTTGAATTGATTTTTTAAAAATCAATTTGATTCATAAACTGATTTTCAAAAATCAATTATTTTAAATACAATTTGATTTTTGCTGCCACTGATATCTATCATAAAATTCTGGACTCAGCATTTGGATGCTGACACCATGTTTTCACATAGCATTGCAAAACCTTATTTTGTTAACTGTTGATGGTTGTTATGCGTCTTCGTAGTAGTATTTAAATTTTTTTAAAATTTCGAATTTAAATTCTTATAAATTATTTGTATCAAAGTTATATTTTAAAAAAAAAAATTAACTTATATTATCTTATAAATTAATTGTTAAACTTTTTATAATTTTCATTTTTTCCTCAAATTTTTTTTTTTTGTTTTACCCAAATTGAAAATATCATGTTTAACGTACAGAATAATTAGAAATTTCTTAAAACTCTTAGTTTTACGAACACTTAATGTTTTCTCAATTTGAAAGACTAAGGAAAATTTCAAACATCCAGAGAGGAAAAAACTTATTATTTCAGTTTTATATTCTTTCTTGAATTCTTTTAATAATAAAATATACAGAATAACGTACTTATTTTAAAAGTAAAAGTAAAAATCCCCAGTAGATTAACAGAAATAAATAAATAAAGCCATTTAATAAAACGTAAACTAAATACCAAAATAGACCTTCCAAACGATGTCTAGTTGTTGGGGATAGTTAAATACACAACTGATCTCAAATCTTTACCAATATATTTCTACTATTCTCAGATGACCATAGAGTTCACCTCATTGCATCCGTGCGAATATGTACGAAAAGAATTTTATTGTATCCCTGGCTAATTCTGATCTTCTCATCGCAGTATCTGCAAACGAAAATTAACTTGAGAAGATAAGGACAGAAGAAAGAGATAAGCCATAATAAGCACATGAATCTGCAAATTTAAGCAGCAAATTCAATACATATACTGGACGGATTAAAAGAGAACATGATATTGTATAGCGAAAATAAAACAGAGAGAGAGAGAATATGATATCTTGGAATATGTCATCTTACAGAAGCTCCAAGATGAACTTGTTTTCCATTTCTAGGGGATATCCAAAAGGGCCACCAATTATGGCTGCATCATCCATCGTAACGTCATACACTTTGGAGCCAGTTTTTCTGTGAATCATTGGGCAAAACATGAAGTAAGAACTTCCAGTCCAGCTGACATGGACAAACGGGCATTCAAGGAACACATTGACTGACTTCTTTTATATATCTATAGATGAATGATCATTAATTTAACTGATCAAATGATTTAAATGAATAACAAATTTGTTTTTAATCTGTGCCAGTCATGTTCTACTCACTGCTATCCTCTCCAAACTAGCAAGCATAGCAAGCAAAAGCAGCAGTGGTTTGCTCTTTACATCACCATACATCGTTGCACACCCAGAACACTACCAGAGTCTCATATATACCATTTTTATCTTTTGGATAACACCGCTTAATTTTAATACAATACAGCTTTTCTGTTTGGGAAGGGGGAATTTTGGAGTTTCCTACAAACTGTGGGAGGCTAGGAGCATTTCTCTATATCATAGAGGCAAATACTGCCTTGTTTCATCAGCGGGATCCTTTCTACTGATGTTTACTGTCATTTGATCCTCCCCTCATATTTTGTCATTCCTTTCTTCCCAATAGTTTCTAGAATCTCCTTCCCAAATGCTCGTTCACAAACTAATACCAAAAACGTTTACGAACTTGATGATCTAAGATGGACAAATACATAGGTTAGATTTGAAATTCTTCCTCCGCCATCATTTAGGACATTTTTGTGATCTTAGACACCGAGCCAAACAAGCAACCTTGTCTTTTGTTATTAATTGACTTTGATTTTACAATAAGTTGAATCATGCAACTATACCCGTAATTATTTAAATAGATGAAGCATTTCAACTAAACAATTTCCTTCAGTATAAAGAGGCCAAATTATCTATATAATCTCATGAGATCAGCATTTCTTCATATCCTATTAAATTGCTGACATATCAAGATATGTGTCAGTCACAGACTTACAGTCACACATCCTGAGCAAGACCAGAACCCTTACCCTAACCTTAACCATGCCCTAAAATATCCAAGCTACAAACCTAGTAAAAGATCCTTTTAATCTTAGCCACTTATTATAGGCAACCCACCCCAACATGAAATCCCTGCATATCTCCATAGCAAGGGAATGAGGACAAGACACAGAGAAAGGGAACAAAAATCGAAAAATTAGTCAGCACCATTAATGCCCTCACAACATTCTCCTCCCTATAAATAGCCTCTCATAAAGTTGCTATGTCAAAGCATTCCAAGCATAAGTGTTCCTAGCATAGTTACCCAGTTTCTCATCATTACTTCCGTTCTCTCTCTCTCTCTCTCTCAATTCCTGAGATTCCCTCAAAATCAATACCCTTACCTTCAAGCTTTTTTAGCACATGTACTTTCTGGAGGTGGCAAGTGCTTGCCCTTGGGCTTAAGCTTATGCTTGTCCATGGCTAAAGGCCCACTTTCATCCTTGTTCCCATCCTCTTGGTCTAACCCCTTAACTATGTGAAGGTTCTTTGCTATTTCTCTACAGTTGCCACCAGAGGCTGATCCCTTCATTGTCTACAGGTGGCAGGTACTTGCCCTTGGGCTTAAGCTTATGCTTGTCCAAGGCTGAAGGCCCACTTTCATCCTTGTTCACATCCCCTTTGTCTGGCCCCTTAACTATGTCAAGGTTCTCTGCTATTTCTCTAAAGTTGCCACCAGAGGCTGATCCCTTCATTGTCTACATGCCTTCCTATTTACTTTGTTTAGGACGCTCCCTAGAGCATTAATAGACTTTAAAAAACGGAAACTTACACAAAATTTCCATTCATGGAGAATTTAAGCCCAAGCAAGATATCAACCAGAAACTTTATTCGTCCATTCTTCCCGATTATCTGCAACAGTCATTGTAATATAAACTAAAGTCATGCGGCAGAATTTTGTGGTGATCAAAGTAAAGTAAATGTACTAGATGAACCTGATACCTGCTTTCCCATCAGACCATTAGCAGCATTCTCTAACCAACTATCCGTCACAGTCTGTAGAGGATAAGTTGTTTAAATAAGAAAAAGAAAATTTGGAGACAGAAATGTTTACATCTAAATTAGCATGAAACAGTATTCCTTCAAATGAATCAAATAATGAACAGTTGGTACTCCTTGTATTCCAAAATTCACCTGTGAATTCCATGTCATCTGCCACTCACCCTCTTCTAGTTCTGGTTCTTCATCAGTATTCTGATTTAAGGAAATAAGTTCATCTATTGCCTGTTGCAATTAAGGATGTGAAAAGCAGTTACAATCGAAATATTCCAGTTAAATTTATTAGAAACATATATTAATAAATTAGCACCCTTACCTCTTTAACACCCACCCCCGAGGAAATTGCTATCAATAACCTCTGCCTAGGTTCAGTTTGCTTCTGCAACACAAATGTGGTTCCCTGCACTATAGGTATGTTGCTAATAATTCTTAGAAACATAAAATACAGATAGAGATAATTTCATGTGCTAGACAATCAAGCATTCTACTCAAGGGAAGGAACAAAAGAATACTAAAATAATGGTTCTATTCAAAATGCCTAATCACCTTATTTCCTCTTGAGATACGAAGGTTTCCCGAATGGGACAAATATGTGGTATCTAACCAACCCTTTGCTTCATCTCCAAGCAGCTTAAATGGAACAGGATATGGAATTTTAAATGGAAGAAATTTAAAAGAAAAGGCAGCTCTGTTAAACCTAAAAAGGATTCTCTTTCCATCTTCAATTGATGCTGCTGCCTGTGTAAATTGAAAGCCATAAATACAAGAAGAAGAAAAACAACAACATCAACAACAACAACCAAGCATTTATCCCACTAGGTGGAGAGCATGGATCAAACAACATAGATGTGATTCTTTAAAAACCAAATTTTCATTTTTCAATAGATGGAAGAACAGCGATAATAAAATATATGCACACCAATATTATATCATATTCTCTGCCATAAATAAAGTTGAATTTAACACAGAAATGTATATTAAATTTATCGTAACTTCAATTGAGGTTATTTAGTATTACCTCCACTTTGAGCTCACCAATGGCCTCAGAAAATGACACAATATTGCTTACGCGTGGATCATTTGTTCGAAGATAAACCTCTTGAAATACACTAAAAAAGTCAACTCCAACAAATGTTCTCTGAAAGAGCAATATAGAATACTATATTGAGACACATCATTAAGTAATTTATGGGGTATGTCTTGAACAGGTAAGTGACACTTGTGGTAGCTATTATCATGTACAATTCAATATACCTAAACTTATAGACTCGATTCAATTTAGAATCAGTTAATATAGGTTGCTTTCCATTAGGGATTTAAGAAATTGCCTACATCAGTAGCAATGAAGACTGTTGCTTCGATTTTTGTTATTCAAGAAATGAAGTTATGGTTTTGATAATACTACAAGAAATAAAATCAAAGATGAATCCAAGTATTCCTAGGGGAAGAAGCTTTTCATAAGGTTTTTGTTTCAAAAAGTAGAACAAATTTTCAAAAAGATCCCAGAAAAATTAAATTTTTCGATCTTCTCCGGTACTATTTTTTAGAGGAGCTTAAAGCTTTAATCTCAGGATCCACCCCGAATCGTACTAGTCGCAAAGCGAACCGAATGGAATATCTCCAAAAAAAAAAAAAAAAACTTTATTTTTTAATTGGGTCCAAATCATTATCAACTGCCATGTAACTTGTCGAAAAGGCTGAGCAGGCCAACAATTTGCTGACATGGCGGTCAAGTTTAGGGGCTTGGTGATTCGATGATATTTTGCACCCAATTTAAATAATCTTTTGGAAGCAGTTTTCCAATCTCGTGTTTTCAAAAACCCAAAGTATAATTTAGGCAATGACTAAAATATAAGTAAAAGTCAATAAATCATTGGAAAAAATGTTTCATGAGGACATACAGGAAATAAAGCCAACACACAACCTGAATCGGAGATGCTGTTCCCGGTCTTGTAGTGAAAATTAGCTGCCAGCGACCCTCGATTAAATTTGAGTTTGTCTGCGGAATTTAATTTCATAGGCTTCAGTGATATATGATGAAAACATCATACCAAAAAGTTTTCTAGCAATGCACTTGGTTCCAACTAGAAGAAAAATAATTGGTAAATATTGAAGCAAAGCAGCAAATGAGAAGCACCTAATTCTCAAGCATATAATAATATTCCTTATTAAAGCACCTAATTTATATCTGATTATCAGGTTTAAAAAATATAAAAATTAGATGGTTACGAAACCATAAAGCATACACAAAATAGAAGTAGAACAAAAATAGCAGAATGGAATCAAATTGAACACGAACCGGATCCGGGACACCCCCTAAACTTTCAAGGACTTGAACAGCACGTTCAATAGCCTGAAAGACAAATAAAAGAAAATATGAATGCTTAATCCAAAAAACAAATTGAAGAAACATGTGTGTATAAGAAAGAGAGAGAGAGAGAGAGAGACATTGAGCTGCTGAGGAGAAGAAGAGCGTCCGCGTCCTTGAATGCCAAGAAGGGATTCGATAAGTGAGTTTTCAGATTCTGTAAATGATAGTTGCTCAACTTGACAAGAACGAAATACGAAGCGATCTTTACGAGATTTTGAATGCTTGGGAGAAATAAAAGTGAAATTAGTACATGGAGATGGAGTCAAACAGTGAAATCCTAGATTGAGATTCACAACTTTGAGAACCATTGTAGTTGTAGAGCAAATCGAGGGCGAGTTGAGCCTGGGTTCTCTTCTCTTTTTTGTTATGTGGCGCCAAGATGAATTTGAACACGTGGCAAACCACCAACAAAAGAAGAAGAAGAAGATGTTATCGCTTTTTCTGCGCCACTTTCAATATCCACACAAGAAGTTGCCGGTCCCAATATGTTAGAACACCAATCATTCATCACGCAATATCCAAAACAATTGTGCATGAGAATTGAATTTTCGTGACCCAATGGTGTGTTTGATATTTATTAAAAAAAAAAAAATTACACTTAAATCGAAACATAATTGAATTCCAACCTGAGAAAATATTTTTTCATGAATTATTTATATTTACTCTTAAAATGATATCGTATTTTGAGTTTAAAAAATAAAAAATTATAATTATAAAGACTATTATAATCTTGTAATAAGTTATAATTATAAAAGTATTTTAATTTTTGTTTTAAAATAACATCATTTTAAATTCAATGTAGATAATTTATCTACATTTACTGCAAAAAAAAAAAACCCTTAATATAATACTGAAAATATAGTATAGAGTTTTTAATTTTTTAAAATGTCAGAATTCAAAGAATAGTTTACTTGCAAATACGCGTTAAGGTTATGTATGGTAATTACATTCACTTGTATTCTTTTTAATCGAAATTTAATGAAGAATAATTATAATAATGTAATTACATGCTTGTATTTGATAATTTGTTTAGGGCATCATATTTAGTCTATGAACTGTATTATTGTTTATTTTATCCTATAATAAATTTCACTCACTTTTTTAAGTACATGAGATATAGTGAAAAATATATTCCCCTAAATAATAAGCCAATTATTTTTAACTAAAAGAATAAAACACAAAGGAGCCAATATTTAAACAATAAACACACGATAAAGTGATAGATATATACGCGCGCGCTCAAGCAATGGACTAAGCTCGTCTAATAAGCAAAGGAACGCTCAAAAGATACACCGCTAATACGATCAACAGCTTGTAAGTCAAAGACCACCATTCAAATTAAGCGATGTTCAGCATTATCTGACAAATTTCATCAAGGGTTAAAAAATATTTCTCATCATCATATAAAACTAGAAGTGCTTTTGTACAATTCAATCACCGGTTCAAAACGATATAAAACAGGTATCTCAAATTTTCAAGGTAAATAGTGAATATCTCAAATATATTTTTTATATAGAAGAAGAAATTCAACAAGACGGAGAGAGAAAATTGCGAAGAGTCAAAGAGAGGGGAGGATAAGGAATCCCCTAAGCAAAAGAATAATACAGAAAACAACCAAGAAAATAGAGAAAATCAATTACATGAAATTTACTAAAAGTGGCAGAAGTACTGGGCTTTCATTAGTTCTCCTTACAAAATTCACAGGTTCTTTACATGCTGCTTATCAGATGAACACTTTGGCATACTCTTTTATCCCTTAAACATTAATGAACCTGCAAACTTCTTTTACTAATTTTGACACACCTAGACAACCAAACCCTGCCCAAAAAGGAAAAAAGAAAAGAAAGAAAGATAAGAAAAGGAAGGAAACTCAGCTTCTAGCCGTTATGGTCGTATGGGGAATGGATCCATGTCACATGATCTCATCCGAGACAATCTCAGCGGTGACATAGAGACAAGAGAGAGGAAACGTTAGCATAGAGAAATCACCATTGATTTGTCTATGTACGACTCAAATCGTCTCATACGAGGTCATGTGACATGAAATGATCCATTCACCCATGAGATATGACTATGAAGAACAAAATCACTATACTCCTCCCCAATCCTTCATTTTACCAAACCATACAAATAAAGAAAAGCAGACAAAATAAAAGTAAACTACTAACCTACGAGGCTACAAATGCCAACATTGTATGTATTAAGAAGTTAGCATTTCCCTCAAAAGCCTATTAGACAAACAACTTAACTAGTGCAGGATAGATAAACCATCATCTCCAACAGTCTCTGAGCTTGTCCCAACTACCTGATCCTTGCATTCATCCTTCTCATTAAAGGCCATGTTGTTTACACTTTTATTTGCTACTTCATGAGTTTCTGATTCATTATTTTTGTCCAGCATTTCAAATTCACCACCCTCTTTTTCATCCATAACAACATTTTCTTTTGCAAAATCTTTATCCAGTAAACACTGCTGTGTGGCTTCTTCATTATTCTGCTCATCCTTCTCCTTCTCCTTCACTTCATTAAACATAAAGCCATCCTTCATTTCATGATTTTTGATCTCATTCTTGTCTGCAATTGCCTCATTGGGAACAGATTCTTCAATAAAAACATCATCTACGCCTTCAGCCTCCAATACTCCACCATTGTCCAACTTAGCATCAGCCTCAATGTTTCCATTTCTCGCACCTTCTTCCAGCATCGAATCAACCATCTCTCTATTATTCTCAATTCCCATAACCGGAACATCTGATCCTCCCTCGCTTTCATTATCAGACCCATTCTCCACCACTTCCTCGTTGACATCTTCAACAATTCTGTTCTGCCTCTCAAGAAACAGTAACCTCCTTCGCAGATCACCTAACTCTCTCTCCATTAGGAAAAGTCGCTCCTTCAATGTCAAATTCTCTTCCTCCAACTGTGCTATATGGGAATCCTGATCATCTACCCTATTCTCTAAGACATTATTATAATCCACTCCATAATTCGGGTATATCATCTCAAACCGGCTTAAATCATGGTCCAGCCTCCTTTCCACCTCCACATGTTCCTCCACATCACTCTCGCTTGACCCGCCACCACCGTCCTCTTCATCTTCATCATCATGAAGATCTGCCTCATGCCCTGGTGATCGAAGCCTGATCAAACCCTTCATTGACCCATATCCATCAACACCCCACTCTTCCTTTGCCATATCCCCTAACACCTCACTCGAGGGCGACAATATAGGTGTAGGAAGCACTGCCGGGGTCACTGGGCAAGGTGACACGAGCGATGCAATGCCACCCGACTTCTTGGCACGAATAATATACGATGTCGTATTCCTAGGCGCATAAGGAGCAAATCTATTATTAAACTTCTTCTTAGGATAGAACTTACGTGCTTTTAAACGATTTTGCGATTGCAATTCATGCAGAGTAGGGGGTTGGTAACCAACGCTGTTGTTTGCAATACTAAGGGAGGTACTTGGATTGGGTTTTTCCATTCTCCTTGAGTCCTTGCGCTTGTCATTGGCCTTCTTCCCCTTCCAGTTACTTCGTCCAGGCTTGGAAGCAAGGTAATTTCGTTTCATAGGGTTCTGAAACTTCATGTTAGGGTCCAGAGGTGGCTGCTGAGACCAAACCTTATATCCTCGATTCATCATCGGAGGTTGAGTCTGGTTCATCATAATCTGAGATTGCTTCATCTGAGGCGGCTTCATCTGAGCCTGAGCCTGCTGATTCATTGCATGGTTGTGTGTGAGCAACTGAGGCTGAGACTGACCTATAATCTGAGACTGGCTCATCATTTGCACCTGATTCATCATCTGAGGCTGGTTCATCTTGTTCAAATTCATCATCATCTGCGATTGATCGTTCATCGTAACGAAATCCAACGCCCAAAGGTCAGGGCTAACTAATTCCTTGCAATTGAAACCGAATGGTTAATATCAAGAAAATATCGCCGATCAGAAGAATCGGCAGAGAAAAAGAGATCGAAACCCTAAATCCCTTTTTCTCAATTTCAGAACCGAGAAGATTGGGATTTGATCTAAAAGGAATGAACCTGAGGCTGAAATCGAATTCTTCTTTCGTGATTTCACAAATCGGAAACCCTGATTCTGATTTTCTTTTCTCGAAAATTGGGGTTATCGCTGATGATTTTGCTTCTTGTGAGGTGATCGGGTATCCAACGCAATTATATAGTGGGTTTGGAATAAATTGGACGGTCAGATTTTGATTTAAAAATTTGACGGCTTGGATTGCAGATGCGTGATGAACACGTGTTATTGGGCTCCGAAAAGTTCGATTCTCGATTTCTCGTTTATGTTGGCCCTTGATCTTTTGATAAATTATACAAAAGTGCAATACTTTCGTACAATTAATTAATATCACATGTACAAAAAATTTCAACAGATTTTTATTACTATTTTTTTTTGAAATTTTTTTTTTAAAAAATAATAGTCTTATAGTGCTCTGCTTTTCTGGAGTATAAAAGACAAGTACTGCAATTTTGAACTGTGATGGTCACTATTGTGGCACTTTATGTATATATGTTTAAAAGGAAACTTGTATTTATAAAGAAAAAAATTATAAATTCTTACAAATTATATTATGTTTGAGCGGTAAAATATTTTTGAGTAGAGTATTATTGGTTAGACATAATGTAATTTGTAAGTTTGTGAAAAAAAAAGTTTATCAATATAATTCTACTCATATTTAAAATACGATAATTAAATACTAACAAAGTAAATAAGATAGTTAAATGGGATACATATAAAAAAAAATTAAATGGGATAAGTTTTTTTACCTATCATTTTTTTGTCTACTACTCTTCAATATTAGAAATTTTGATACAACGGTATTGAAAAGTGGTAGACAAAGATAAAAAAAAAATAGGTAGAATAATTTATCCCTACTTAAATATTATCTAATTTTTTTAAAAATGTGTTGACTATTAAGTGTTTTTTATTGCTTGAACGGTTGAACCAACTCGGATATTATTTATCAAAGAAAAAGAACACTTGTTTCCCACAAAATGACCTAAAGTGCGTGAAAATGTCGTTTCAATTATGAAAAATGAGAAACAAATAGCCACTTCCTCAATAATTGTGCATTTGGACAGGCAACTTTTTTACTATAAAGTTATTTTTTAAAAAAATAATAATAATTTTATACTTTTAGAAAAAATATTTAAAAAATTTGAATTAAAATAATATTTTTTTAAATCATGATTCCTTTTTTTTTTTTTTTAAATGAAAGTCAAAAGTTAGATATTTTAAAAATTTTAATTTTATCATAACCTCACACCAATCATTCTATTTAATAAAAATCATCCTAAAAAAATAAGTCATAAATTTTTTTTTAAAGTTCATTGGCCCTAAATAACCCCAAATTTATTATTTATTTTTATTTTTTTGAAAGATTATTAGTTTTTTCATTTGTTTTAAAAAAGTAATCGGCTCTTACTTTGATCGAAGCCCCATAATTAGTTGTAGAAAAATAAAATACTTGGTGTATAAGATAAGAAAAGACATGATAGTATAAGGCTATAAGACCTAATTAAATTTTAATATAATTCAGCATTTGACATGGTATTATATAAGAGAATGTATTAAATAAAAGAATTTTATCCAGTATTTGATAATACATTATATAATATTAGATAGAATAAAAATAAATTTTTGAAAAAAATATTCTTTAATAAAAAAATTATATAATTCTTCCAAATAAGTCATATGATATTAATTTTTATAAAAATCTATTTATTAGTATATCCAAAAAATATATTAATTTTTGTAAAAAAAATATTTGCTATATTTAAAAAAATATATATGACTATTATATTTATTAAATTAAAAAACTCTCAGAATTTTAAGTCGAAGCATAAAGACTCCCAATACACTTCTTAAAATTTGAAGTCATTCATTTACCTTTAGAGCATCATTAACCGTTTAGAAACAAAACTGCACCAATTAGAAAAAGGATAAAAGGAAGAAGTTAATCTTGTTTCCTTCTAATAAATTTACTTTTGCGAAGGAATTTAAAACTTTAATTCTGGACCCGTCCCGAATCAGATTAGATGCGAAGAAATGAACCGATCGAAATATTTCCAAAAAAAAATTTACTTTTGCATCATCGCAAGGGACTCAATTGGATGACAAATCATACATCTTATGGTCGGGCTCTTCTAATATTCTTCTAGAAAGAATGCAGTGAGCTAAACTAATTAGTTACTAGAATTTTATGTAAATATGAAGTTAAGGAGAGTAGAAGAAAATTTAACGCTCCCGTCTCTCTAGTATAAGCGTGCATATCCATCCCCCTACAGAAATGGCTTCCTTTTGCATCTTATTGTGGATTTTCTTATTGTTCTTTTTCCCTTTTGATTCTGGTTAATGAGCAGTTGAACATAACAGTTCAATAATGTCAATAAAAGTTCAATAATGTAATAATGTCATGCACGCAAGACTGGGAAATGAAGCATAAAAGTTCAATAAAAGCCTCCTTTTTCAGCTCTCGATAGAACAAAAATCAGCATGGTCTCGGGCATTCTTGTTTGTATTTTGTATTACATGAATCGGTGGAAACAAAACATTTGAATATAATTGCAGTAATACTCGTACTCCGCAAGCACATAGCATCAATCAGAATATAATTGTACTGTTGCAGCAGCTATAGAGCTTCCAATAAGAGTTTCTCAGTTGACCCAACCTACCACAAGGATCACACAGCTCATTTTGTTAAGAAAATGGAGGAAAGAGGGATGAATCCACATTTACATCTGACTGAAGACAAACATTTTAAATCTTGCTTATCTAGTAAATTAACTCCATTGGCATAAAAGTGTGAAAAATGAATGAAGGCTAAAGCTACCAATATTCCAAATGACCTTGTTTTAATTGTGCATGCATATGCTTCTGAGAGAGAGTATTCTTGAGAAAGCAAGATAACTAACTAACCACTGAATCCACTACGGGTAATGTTCCAGCATTAAACCCCCAGCAACATTGAATGTAATTCCCTCATCAATCTGAGAAGCTCCCATCAAATAAGAAAACTCATAGTATTCAGGTTGACGAGAATTTTTTGATATTTCGGGATTAACTTTATTAACAGATTTCATTTGTGTGGACTCTATTTCCCAAAGATAAATTAGAATTGTCATGACATCCATTAACAAAGAAATTTTTAGTTAAGTTTGGCACCAAGAAATTACTGCATTCATGCTCAATCAAAGGAAAAATTAAAGAAACTACAGCCAACTACCAGATTACCTTAGCATCAAAGTAATATCGTGTTTCAGATCACAGGAATGACAGGATCATGCGATGAGGTCCTAGTGATCTTATAAATGTGGGATTCGACAGCTATTTTGAAGTGTTTGGATTTTGCCTTTTGGGCAAATCTTTGGTGAGAAAAGAGAACTAAAATCCTGATCCAAGCAGCGCATAAAACAATGTTTTCTTACTGAGGTAGTCAAAGGTGAAAAAGTCCTAGAGGAGCCAAAAAGTGCACACCTCACTGATGAAAGGCATTAACATATAAATAAATAAAAAATTAATATTTTAACTAATAAAGTTCATAACAAGCTCTAAAGTCAAAGTTCATAATCAAAATAGATGTGCAGCAGCCCTCAAAATCAAAATTCTTAATAAAAAAAGGTAAATTCCTAGATTAGACAATACTGCACACGGCATGAATACTGAATGAAAACAGAGCATGCAACAAGTAAACAGAAAACAGGAAACTAATACAGCAGCAAAGCAAATAAAACAGGTAATAAGAATAGAACAGTAATTAAAGAAACAAATTTAATGATAGAAAGTATAGAAGAAAGGGAAAAAGGAAATTGAGAAAAAAATGCCCTCAAGGCATGAGTTCATATAGGAGCTATGCCTCATATAGCAAGAGGCATATAAGCCCCTTCCCTCATTTCGCCTTAGAGCCTTACGTGTGCTTCTCGGCACCTTTAACTACACTGTTTTATACTCCTTTAATAGCTGAAGAACCTCCCCCAATATTTTACCAAAATCCCCCCATTTTCAGCCATATCAAAGAAGAGAATTCAGTTTTCCATGATGAAAGTTCATTTATAAGTAGCCAAATCTTAATTAAAACCTACCAATACTTGTTATGTGCTAAGAGTTGGTTAAATTATACAGCAGGTATTATATTTGGCAGAAAGGTTGCCTGTAGTAACATATCCTCATAAACACAACAACTGGTTAAAATTCACATATTTGATCTAAAGTCTGAAACTTCAATCAAGGTATATAATTCTAAATTGCAAAATCGACAAGATAATTTTTTTCCACTTCATCTAACATTTTATTGCAGAAAAACCTACTTTCTTCTTTGTCAAAAACATGCATACTTCCTTCCTCCTTGGTTTATATATCCAAATCTGATCACACATACTTTTGGGGGAAATCAGAATTCAAGCAGGTTCTCCTCCAACTATCTTATCAGCACATCCTTTATAGATCTTATGCTGTCTGAGAAGTGTGGTGATTTGTTCGTTATTTCCTTGAATGCACAAAGTATTTTTTTTTTCCCTGAAATCACAAAAAGATCAGATGTAGAATGCACAAAGTATTTTTTTCCTTGAAATTTTATTCATGGTAGTTATTTCCTGCTTAAACTTGACGATCGGATTGGCAAAAAGAATTATCGTATTTTGGTGGGAACTAATTTATTACGAGTTTTAATTCTAATTTCAAATCATGAGTTCGAATTCAACGTTAGGTATACATGCACTTATTATGATTTTTCAGTTACAAAACAATTATTTGTTGGGTTCGTGATATTCATTGCATAAGATTTTGGTATTTGTTAATGGGATAGGATATTGGATGGGTTACATATTTGGATGGATTTTGGTATTTTGGCTGTGTATAAGTTGATGTGTTATTCACAGTTAGTAAATTTATTTTAAATATGAATACTTGAGTTTAAAATTTTAGTCAACTTATACAAAAAAAAAAAAAAAAAAATTAGCGTTCAATCTTCACATGTTATCTTATCATTTAGACATTTAGGTACTGCGGGGCAATGGGGGCAAGTATGAAAGGAATTAAGTTATGGCAAAAGAAAATAAAGGAATGTGGAAGGAATTTTTAATTGAAATACTGAGGTTTCAC